TTGTGTGTTGATATTTATACCCATCAAAGAGTACAAGCTGTTCCTGCTCACGCCTCTTCGTACTGAAGAGAGCTCACATTTGGTGGCAAGTCTACACCAACCAACTGTCTGTTCTTCCGACTTGTACATGTACAAATACAAAACACACCAATGTGTTAATGTTTCAAAGTCATTCGAAATTGTATTTTGAACCCCTTTGTGCGTTTTGGTTCAAATTGGCCACTAAGGTGTCTTGCCCCAGTCACAAAATATAGCTTTTAGGTTTGGAAAATAGACATTCTCTTCATACATTTACAGAAAACACAAAAGAGAAGTACATTCCAGACCCATTTCATGTGTTTCTGTTTATCACTTTTACAAAAGTCACTCCAATGACTACTACTACTACAACTACTACTACTACTACCACTACTACCACCACTACCACTACCACTACTACTATCACTGCTACTACTACTACCTCTACCACCACTAATACTACTACTAATACCACTAGCACTGCCACTGCCACTACCACTACTACTATTACTACTACTACTACTACTACTACTACTACTACTACTACCACTAGCACTTCAACTACCACTACTACTACTACTACTAAAGGTTGTTCCTCTTTCTAAAAACCCGTTTGTAATTTGAGAAAGATTGCTCTGAAGAACAAATAATAACTTTGTTCTGGGCTAACAGCCATTATATTATAGGTCATGTATGTACTGCTACTACTACGAAAGAAGCTTGCTCCTTCTAAAAACCCGTTTGTAATTTGAGAAAGATTGCTTAGAAGGACAAATAATAACTTTGTTCTGGCCTTACAGCCATCATATGTCCTGCATGTATATAGTAGGTATGTGACATCAGTCGTTGTTTGGGAGGCCTGTCAACAGATGAGGATGAGCTGCACTCTGTCACACAAGGCTTTCGTTTTGCTGATCGTGTGTACATACCACTGCATTCCCGGTAAAACATGACTAAGTAAGATGAAATGTTACAAAACCAGGCAAAAACACTAAATTAATTATATTGCTGAGAAATGCAGGTATTAAAAAGCAAAAAGAAATTCAAGTTGCTCGTAAACACCGATGGAGAATTCGGGGAAACACCGGAAAGTAGTTCCGGCAAAAGGTCACACCATCAATTTCACAAAAACTTGTTCACATCGTTCGAACTTTTCTGTCCGTTCACAGGGGTGTGAGCCCTAAATATCAGATCACGTGACTACCCATTCAGCCAATCAGCATGAAAGAAACAGTGTCAACTTAAAGTATGAAATTATTTAACTGTTAGAAGCCAAAGTAGTATAACTACTTGTGTGAAACCAAAGCCATTTTTATTTAACGATTCACACTACATCATAAGCATGTGTTTATTAATCACTATAAAAATGTGATACCAGGTGTTTAAGAAAATGTCAGCGTATCCTGCTCCTTCGGTGGCACTCGTCAGAAATACATGCAAAGGCATGTTAGTTGTTCGCCTGAAAAAGACGGGAATATATGGTTCAAGTCAAACTAGGGACATTATTTGATCACTAATGCGTCAAACGTCCTTCACATGTCTACCATCATACTTTTTGAAAGCTTTACTGGTGCCTTTAATGTTGTAACCCTGTTTACACAACATGAGAGCAAGCGTTGTAAGACATCTTCAAAGACAGAGCATGCTCCATTGTACCACAAGTTGAGAAATGTAGACACCAAAACCTTGAGCTGCTTGAATATTTGAAAGCTGAAGTCCTCCATTTATCATACAAGCAATCTCTGCTAAAACAGCTTTATCACGCACCCAGTTAAATTAGCAGGGCTAGACGTGATAGCGAATAAGTGTTTATCTAATTCGTTTCCTGGTCGTAACATGTGATTTGCCCCCTTTCAGTGTGTAACCTGTGTATAGTTCATATGAGCCACCGCGAATTGTCTGTTGTGCGTCAGCGTACTTTAAACATTTTGCTATAGTTGCTTGGATTTATGGTTTTCATCGAAATACATTATTTAGAATAACCATTCTTGCCGAATATAAATTTGAATATTATCATCTATCATGCATAAGCGCTTTATAGTTTCAAAATGGGCTTTACGAGGAAGAATAATTTGGCGTATTACTGGAGGTAGGGACGGTTGTTGTGCCCCCTCAACCGGTGGCGTACGGTGCTTCCACAAATTGGTCTCAAATCCAGAAATTGCCCAAGCTGTTCATGTGGCAGTTTGGTAATCGATTCCGTAGATGCACCAACCGCATATGGTTGTTTATGTCGTGACGCCATACGTGGACGACCGGTCATACATGCACTCAAGTCAGGAGTGTTGCCTTGCTGGAGAAGTCTTCAGAGATTAAATTGTGTTTCGATGAACAGTAAAATATCTGGCAACTTTCTTTTTGGAAACATATCCAAGGCGCATAGATGTTAATTGTCAGTGGCATTTATGAGCACCTGATAGCTAAAAGGCCATTGTGCGCTGTTCACTCAGCAATATTCCAGCTATATGACGGCGGTCTGTAAATAACCGAGTCTGGACCAGACAATCCAGTGATTGATATCATGAGCATCGATCCACGCAATTGGGGTGGATGACATGCATCGACCAAGTCAGCGAGTCTGATCACCCGATCCCGTTAGTCGCCTCTTACGACAAGCATAGTCACCTTTTATGGCAAACATGGTTTGCTGAAGACCTATTCTTCCCCGGATCTTCACGAGCCCGAAGGCGACGCCATGTTTGTTTATAAACACTGAAAGTAGTCCCTACTTGACCTTTGATATTTGCATCTCTATCCGCATATGACCCCAACGGATATCGTTTTTATCCGTTGGCTTTATCCGGCCGAGAAGCCTACCCATTAATTATATGATAAAGCACATTATTCTGTCTGATAACTGGTTTGTGTAAATGCATATCATGAAACATTGAATAATCGTACGGGAGTGATTCACATATACATCTACTGCGTTTCGAAATTAGAGGTGCAAAACGTTGTCAATTCAAATTTTTCGAAAGCGTGTCTTGAGACAACAAGTATTTCATTAGAAAAGGAAAAGATATCTTTGTAGGTTATCTGATATCGCTACCTGCCCTGTATTCATGCTAAACAATAGGGTGTGGGTGTGCAAGATGAAAATGGCAAATAAGCAATATACAATTTCTGAAGATTTAACCCAATAGCAATGTCTCGTTTAAGTCGACCACAAATACACATGTAGTTGCAACTCTGCTTCTGTATGACCACATTAAAGCTTGATGAAGACAAGTTAACTTGTATTGAAGCCTTAAAGATACGTATGCATCCGTTACATCTTAATCATATACATTTTCAATCAGACACGTTATAACTCAGCTTTGGAAATTGTTGGTTGCCCAACAGACGCGCTGTATTGGTGCCTTTGCATGTGTTTGCGACGGTGGCCATCGATGGGGCAAGATACGCTCGTTCTTTCGCGAACACCTGGCATGGTTACTAATTGATAGAGGTTATAAAAAACATCCCAAGATATCCTAGGAACAGATTTCTTATGATTAAGGAAGCGGTTTTTAAATTTCATCGTAATCCCAATTGCAAGGAACGATGACAGTCACTGGATTGTCTGGTTCAGACTCGATGTGATACAAACCGCAGTCATTTAGCTGGAATACTGCTGAGTGACCAAATATACATTTGGGTCATGGAGCCTGAGACACGGGTTCCATCCCCACATGGGCGCAATGTGTGAAGCCCATTTCTGGTGCCCCCCGTTTCCGGTGAAAGAAATGTTCGCACATTCATGTAATATGTGGCCTGCAGGTAGTATACTGAGTGTGGGTACATCATCCTGACTTGGTCTACAGTTGCTGTGTATGGTTATATCGTGCATTTTTATGCCTCAAAGTGAGATTGACCAATCAGAGAGCAGAACCACTGACCCCACATGAGCCCGTATACCGTCGACCCGTGAAGATCCCGGGGTAGAATAGGTCTTCAGCAACCCATGTTTGCCGTAAAAGGTGAATTTGCTTGTCGTCAAAGGCGACTAACGGGATCGGGTGGTCAGGCTCGCTGATTTGGTTGATGCATGTCATCGAACCAATTTGCGTGGATCGATGCTCATGATATTAATCACTGGTTTTAATATCATAACTTGTGATGTGCAAGGACGTTCATATTTTTTGGATCACTTTCGTGACTTTAATAAGATTTTATAAAGTTAAAATTATCAAAAAGCTTACGCGTCTGAGGTTTGAACAGTAGTCTCCCTTTGACCCTTAATATCTTAGGTTGTAAGTGTTAAGTTTTGAGTTTTAAGTTTTGACATGACATGTGCGACAAAGATACCCAATAGTGTAAACTTTTCGGCATAATGAATTCGTTATGATATCTTTAGTTGCCGTATACAGTGTCATATTAGGTTAGCAGAAAGATATTGGGCGAGGCGTCAGCCGGTGTCATATTAGGTTAGCAGAAACAAATATTGGGCGAGGCGTCAGGCAGTGTGATATTAGGTTAGCAGAAACAAATATTGGGCGAGGCGTCAGCCAGTGTCATATTAGGTTAGCAGAAACAAATATTGGGCGAGGCGTCAGCCAGTGTCATATTAGGTTAGCAGAAACAAATATTGGGCGAGGCGTCAGCCAGTGTCATATTAGGTGAGCAGAAAAAGATTGGGCGAGGCGTCAGCCAGTGTCATATTAGGTTAGCAGCTGCAAACAATTTTTTCTGCTAACCTAATATAACACCGTATACGGCAACTAAAGACACCATAACTAATAGTATGTGTCGACTTATTTCAATGTCGTCCTCCGTGTACAAAACACGCAAAGCTATTGTCTACCTGGACGGGTTACAGGAAGTTTCTGCACGTGGTGCGTTTCCTGGTTGCAACGCTCAACGTAATGTTCTTGATGTGTAATCACGGGCTCGCTTACATTAACATGGTTATAGACTTCGAATAACATTGTTGACATCCACGTGCTATCCACTAAGTATTCGACTAATTTTAGTTATATGTATACACAATACCAATCATGAAGTTTGACACAGTTGCACAGTTTATTAAGGAAGTCTGACAGTAAGGGAATAATACAACAGAGATGAGAACACAGAAACATGCTTAAATTGGCAGCATCCAGTTGCAATACATAATTGATAAATAAAAGTGAATGAAACAAAACAAAGACTCGGACTTACAAATGACATGCCAACGGCGTAGTTGAGGATTTAATCACTTTAACTTTATATTATCTCATGAAGATTCTTTTCAACTGCGACTAGGTGATCCCAGAACGGTATTTACCATAGTACGAGATGAAGATCCCTCAGTGTTTAGACGATAATCACAAATTATTTCTGATCATGTATTTAAAATCCTCCTTTCACATATGTATAGGGGTGTTGTGGCAGCTCTGTACTGAATCCATTGATTCGTCAAGTCGCAAACCAAGGTTTAATTTTGTTTAAATGGATACGTTAGTGACATACAATGAGTGATTATCAACCTACGAGTGACAACGGGACATTACATGAGAACTTATTCCTTAACACGCATGATATACTAGTGTAATTTTATGTCATTCAGTCGGGGCTAGTTGTGTGAGTCAAACCGGGAATCCTCACATTATGGTGACAGAATGAAGAAATGGGCAGCGTGCGGTGTATCCGTAACTTAACCGTCTATTAAACGTGAAGCTAAAGCTGACAAAAGTAACTGAAACGGACATAAAAGATAATAAAATAATTGTCAATATTATTTCCCTCCAACTCCGGCCGGAAGTAGAATGACAATGTCAAACTTGGCATGTTTGCACATACTCCTGACCTTCTGGACCAGCACGAAATCATTAACTGTATTTATGTTAGCATGGCTAGAAAAGTGCATGTGTATCAACATGAAACCTACACACGATCATTCTACCCTTCGGGTTGATATGGAGGAGATTTATATCGGTCAATACACATACGGTTTTGAACATAAGAAACCATGACAACGAGACAGGAAGTGGGGAACAAGTCATTCTAACAAGTAATGGGACATTTATGTACTGTACAAAATAATTCTAGAAACACAATTCTAGAAACTGTATCATAAAACTAAGGAATTAAAGAAAAAAATATCGAATATGTTCGGCGGATCCATTCATCAGATGTTGGCGTAAGTTCCGACAGTCTCCAGGAACTGTCGAGAAAACTCCAGACAGAAACGGACGTCATCCTGAAAAGACAACACTGACATGAGCTGGTTCCACTGTGGATTACAACACTAGGCTAGCCTAAACAAATCAGGTCGAAGGTATGTTATGCCACAAATAATAGTCAGATGATGTCAGAGCCGTTCCACCATTCGACTGACATCCATCTCAGAGGTGGTCTCGGCCAGAATTGAGATAAGTTGAACTAGATTCACTAGTTTCACCAGTTTACGTGACTATCGCATTTCTACACAGCTTGCATGTAATCCTGTCCTGACCTTTTTATAAATGTTCCTCGATATCAAAATAAAAAGTTAATTTCTATCAACCAAGATTATTCATATTGCAATTTTGTTTTAAAAATTCTCGTTTCATTAACTGCCTGTATATGAGGAGAGATCGATCAGTATGCCGTTTACAGAATTACTTTTCTCATAACATCAACTTGTGACACAGTTCTCATTTTTGTGTAGTTTTGTAAAAAATGCTTTTCATTCTATAGTTCATGCCACAACCATTGCGACCTACCATTGTAAAGGGTGCACCTCCATGACGAGCACACAGTCTCCCCATATCAGTGATGAGGTCAACAGTTCCGTCGTCCTTCAGTCTGCTGGCGATGTTCACAAGCAGCACCAGGAGCACGGATTCTGTTGCAGTCCTGGGGACATCACAGAGATATGATAACATTAGCTGGAGCCAATATTAGTGGTGGAGTACGAGCATATTACAACAATGATTAGCTGGACGCAGAATTCGTACCAGAATACAGAGACATTAGCTTGGACCGACGTCAGAGCTGACATGGCAGACACCAGTAGGTGTGTGATGAGATCACGGGAAAAGTGTGGGGAACGAAACCTACATACCTGGATACAATCATACTGGAGCCACGTTCTGGATCCTGTGTCCATGTGAGCAAGTTGTCTATCAGCTCAGCGACACCTGGATCACGTACACTCCCAGCCAGGTGGTAGTTGTGGATCGTGGTGGTGGTGGTGGCATCATCCTGTGCCATGGGAAGATCAGTGATTGTGTCACCAAACTTCACACATGAATCAGTCCTCAAGTTATTTCAACGTAATCAATTGAAAATAATCCGTCAATTAACTATATTGGAATTTATACCGACAGAACCTTCAGGACATAGTGAGTGAATGCTATATTCCAGCGGTACCCTAGCAACATGTAGCTAGCCGAGTCTGACTCGGACAACCCAGTGGTTGATATAATAAGCCACGTCCCGTGCTGGCGGGTATGATGATACACAATCAATCAAGTCAGCGAGTCTCATCATCCGATCGATTTTAGTCGCCGCTTACCACAAACTTCCCACAGGGTCTATAGGTAGAAGACAGGGTGAGTGGTGTGTGTTGACTGGCTGTTTAGGATAAATCAGTTTATTGAGATATTGTTGGAGGCAAGGTCATATATGTTTGCCATGTAAACATAAAAAACATGGTATAGTACTGAATCAACAATCGTCGAGATGAATTTCCCGAACACAATAAGATATTTCTCGTCGTGCCAGCAAAATGAATAAACTGGTTTCATAATATTACCCTGGCCCCTGTGTGTATTGTTAAATGTAGTGGTACGTAGGCAATCTAGAAATAATATACTCCTGATATACTAGGCTCGTTCTCAGTTCGAGGAGGGCTGTTCCGTCCTGACAGGATCAACACCAAGATTCAGTATCCCGGTGAGAACATGGACAAATCAGAATATATCGACTTGAAATGTGGTTACCGCATAAGAGGTGGGATGAAATTAGGTTCATTGTATTATATGTATAGCAGTGTGCATGTGAGAGTGAGTGCCTGCTTGTCTGGACTAATACCGGTTTAATGGTTCTAGCCCACTGACACAGTCTACTGACTTCGAGTTGACAAGGCTTTATGTACGTGCATAATGCTGAGCGTACAGGGTAACAAGTATCATCTTTCAACATCATTATTATGACGCGACCGGGGATCGAACCATAGCCCTTCCACTTTCCGGGCAGACGCCCTATCCACTATACATAATTCCACTTACCTTTAATCCAAGATCAATAGTGGTGACTGAGATTCCATCTGACAGCACAGTCTTACTGCACATGCTGGCTGTGAACCTGGATGTTTTAACGTCCTTGTCTGATGACGGGAGGTGCGCCTATTAAGATAAATACCTCATGTTTCAAGCAAGGAAGTTTTAGGAACACAAACGTCGACAATATTGGTACTGTTGTGACTCAAATGGTTTATGCAGAAAGAAGATGCATACGTTTGTAAAGCAAATGTTTTGTAAATTGTCGTCGCTAACCTGATTCTCTTGACCCCACGTGATGAGTGTGCGAGAATCAGTGTTATACACCGCGTTCCAAATATCTTCTTTGTTGGGACATGAACTCATGATGTAGAAACCATTGTTCCATGTATAAGACTGAAAAAACAGGAGATTAGCATATAGGCTTCAAGCTGCCATGGGATTCAACTGAACACGAACGCAGAAAACATGAGTCGTTTATTATTTGACATAGTTCTTGCTCGTTTTGTCATATTGTGTTAAATTGATGTTAAATGTGTATGCATGCACCCTATGAAATTGGACGCAAGGGCCTTGGTACTTACAGGCACTGTTGCGATGAAGTTCCGCTCACTGTCCACTAGATAACATATAAGTACATTCGTCAGATACATTGAAGACCCGATTATAGAAGAAATATTTTGTGAAAAAACTAGTTTCGCATCTTTTGACCACACGTGGTTCAACTGATTACTTATTTTAGAGGACAGACATGTCCCATTCACGAGTTACCTTGTAATGCATTTCATATGACACATGCCTATGTAACGATTCAGCGATCAATGTTTTGCGATATTCAATGGAATCGTTGTGTGAGGTCATCTTTCGATATAAACAAAATCAAGAGGATATTATATTATGTTCAACATTTAAAATATCGCAAAAAGAAAGACCCCACTACTGGGTACACATACACGAACGTTGATTACATTTTGAACAGAACAGTGCCATGGTCATAACAAGTTTCAGCTTTGAGTGTTGTCAAAGTGAAAAGGTCAAATTAAGGTCAAAACTTATAATATAAAAACGAAACATACATGGTGATCCCAACTACAACCTACACATGTACACAATTCATCCCATTTTGACAAGGAATGCTGAACATCGGATTTGTACCTCTTGAACAAATTGGTGAAAACAAGCATATGAAGGTTCAGCTTCGTTGGTCCAGTGGTTTCTGAGGAGATGTTAAACGACGGGCCACGACACTGGCCACGACATAAACTCACGAGAGTTTCTGTCACGTGAGCAAACGTAACAATGTAGGCCGGCGCGTAGGAATACTTGTAGAGAGAAACATATGTCCGTCATCTTCAAACCATTGATCAAACTGATCTAATTATTCAGAGTGTATCATCAACAGGAAGGGACTGAACAGACAAGAAAGTTGGAAGAACACGGAGAAGGTAAGATAACTGCCAAATACACAATGTCAAGACTTGATGTCTTTAATAAGGTCAAATGGTCGCTTTAAACCAGTCTTGGCGATCCTGACCTTTGTCCAAGTTGCCTTGAACATTGACCAGTTTCTATTCATTTGGCAGGGTTATTCCAATGATTCATTCGATTATTTCGCTGACAACTACAAAACAAAAAGTGTTTGTATAAAGGTTTGTGTTATGTGATATGCGTATGCATTGTTTCGTCCCAGAGTGAGGTCGATCTTTGCAGCACCTACTGACAGCAGTATTTCATGCTGGTGCTGCCATATATGCTCACCTTTTTTTCTAGTTCAATATTAATGGGGGCACGAAGGGCCCATTCGTGTAAGTCGTGGCAATTCGCTGTGCAGAGTTGCTTCCCTTTAGGCGTGCCAGAAACCTATGACCGTAAGTTCAGTACAGATTCACCCTGGTGATGTTCTTGGTTTGTCAGCACTCACTCATTCACTAAAGCACACATGCTGAAACATTCTCTCTTTAATTGATGTCAGTGATCACAATGTTACAGTTGTGCAGATGTCTTTGTGTGAAAATTATAGGATAGTAAGTAGGTCAAATAACAGTATGCAACTAAATGAGGACATATCAACATCACATCGATTATCTTCATAACTGTGGGACTTATACATTGAAGAAACCCTCAGACCCCTCAACACCAGACCCAAAGAACATCAGACCTCTGCCAACAAACTAAACCTGAAATCCGCTATTTCCGAATACAACCTCAAGAGCCAAGGCAATAACATCATACGGGAAGCCACCAAAGTGTCTACAATGAACAACAACTGGTAACAAGAAAACTACAAGAAGCCATTGACATCAGGAGACACCAGCCAGCCATGAACCGTGACCAGGGAACCTATATTTATTGCTTTGACCATTGTCGGGGCACATTATCCAGCTGGCTTCAATTTGTCCATTGTCATTTCCATTCTACTACCTATCAGTGCTAATTACCCAAATGCCTTCCATTTGCGTTGTGTTCCTCATAATAAAGAAGTTGACATCCACAAATGATATTCCTTATAAATACATGTAATATTCTATTCTACTTACTGGGCGGGCGAGCTTGGAGCGCCTACAACAAATACAAATTTCAAATGACGTGTGGTAATAAACAATAAACAATGGATTGCAATCTAGTCACTCTTACACGACTTGTTGATGTATTCAAGAAACGTCGCACAAGTGTCAGTAAATTTATCAATTTTAAGAACTTCCATCTATTTTGCAGAACCACAACGTTTCATATGTACCTACCCCAAGATGCTGTTGTACGGTCTTGTTTCCCATGGTCACGTCAGCCAAATCATCAAGGTTCAACCTTTTGAGGAAGTTTGAATCCAAAGACGTGTCCCCTTGCGATAACCACATCGCCATCGCTTGGTAGACGAACAGATACTGCTCCTGTATGTATGATAGAGTGACATGGTTTACAAAATCAGCAGCAGCAACGCATGTTTTCCCAATCTTGATTTAATTTAATGACTTCTATCCATGACGTTTGCCCCTGTGGAGAACTGGGTTAGAACAGGTGCACAACACCCTACTGGGTGTATGAGACGCGATTAAATTGGACTGATTGGTTCTCCCCGGACGGCGTGGGGTATTGATCATAGAACACTGGTTTGCCTGGCCCAGACTCTATTATGTACAGGCTTCTATGCTGTAATGTGGCTGCGGCGTTACACGACATTCACTCACTCACTCCAGATGAAGATGCGCCTACCTTTGTCTGAATCATGTTCGTCCTCTGTCTCCTCATGCTGGATGCGATGCTGACAACGTCAACCACGCCCTCCGTCTTGGCCTGCTCCATGAGACCCTCGATAGCGATGTAGGTCCCTGTACGGCCTATACCGGCACTGGAGTTGTGTTGAAAACAGAAAGATATTGAAATAATTATCACTGGAAAAACACATGTACTTCAATACCTTCATTACTAGATACTCCTTTAACACAACGGCCTGTCGTGTTCTCATTGTCATAGATTACATAAATTGTCTTTCACTTCTGTTCTTTCTGACCGTTGTGCATAGACCTCTCTGTTCTCGTCTGGTTCACCCATATACACTGACGGACAATTATACTTAACTGTTGGTAATCACCGAATAGTGACATGAGTAATTCTTGGGTTTATGGAATGGGTGAGCTCATTACCATTACTCATCACCGTAACATCAAAGTGTTATAAATAATGGTGTCTTGATCGGCAGTTGTTAGGATGGGCGGAGCTTAGGTTGCATTATTGCACTGAATGATGTCACTCATATCGTATTGATCTTTCAGTTAAAGGTTAATAAATAAGCAGTATGTGAATGTATTATTGTTTACTTTGGTTAGAAGCCTTCAATGAAAAAGACCTGTGAACACACAGAGAACACACTGGTATGTATGTCTATACCTCCCCTTCCCCATACATCTTGGAATCTGGTGGAATAGAAACCATTATCTCTTCTGGTAACATTGTAATGCACGATATTGTTAGTTGAAGTATGTTCTCTGGTCCCTATTAAGTATTCAACTTTTTTAATATAGCTATATTTAAACTTTACATCATTTAACCAATCTGTCAAAATAAAAGAAGGGGTTTGCTGTGCATTCCTTTTGCGCTTGGAGCATTTATTAAGTCCAGCATCAAATAACACTTTACTTCAGAAGCATATCCGGAATCCCTCAACCAGATAACAACTGTGGTCTTACTTTCTAGAAAACAGATAAAAGGAGTATTTCCCTTCATTTCTAACATGCAGGGACATTCCATTGATTACTGACACCGTGCTGTGACGTAACGCAACGCGTTTATGCATGAACGTCCCAGTTAAAAAAACCCGTCTGTGGCGCTACTCCCATTAACCTTTGTCACAAGCAATATGTGACACATATATTTTCACTCTCTGTGTAAATGTATCCCAGCATATTTGGCGATTTGATTCTTTATCTATATATGGTTATCAGGTTCATAGCGACTGTAGGCTGGCGAGCGCAGTCAACACAAAAACACAACAGCACACGCCATTCACGACAAACAAATAGTACGCTCCATTCTTACCTGCAGTGAACTATGATTGGCTGCGTCTGTTCCCTTGATGTGACCTTCACCTTGCTAATGAACTCCAGTAGAGCGGAAGTGTCTGGGACGCCATGATCCGGCCAGCTGGTGAAGTGGAAGTGCTCGAGACACAGCTTCTTGGCAGCCTAAATACAGAGTGGAATTGTAAGTTTACCAATGTATTAGTCAGTGTTTATCTTATTATTCACTTTATTCAGATGTATTGTAGGCCATAGGCCCATGATACAATGGTTACAGTGTGCGTAACCATTGTATCAGTGTTGATCATATTTCACTAATGGTTATTTGGCAATTCAAACGTTTAATAAAACAAAGCTATACTATACCTGATTGTGTTGCACGGAAAGCTTAGTGACCGTGTAGTTTGCGAAGCGTGTCTGTGTATCCATGGTTACAGATATGTCCCCGTACGTCTCTGTACCTTTCTCCGGCCAATAACGAAGGCACTTCATCTGTGTTTAAATGTATTTTAAACAGATAATATCAAACAGATTACGAATATTCCCCAACACTAACGACATAAATATAAAACGTCAAGGACAAAGAATAACCAGTCTCCAATATCTACCAAAACAAATTCCACTGGGCGTAATGGGCAAAATAGCTGTGAAACATACACAAACTAATGAGCAAAAGAAACGCCACCAAACAGTTTTCTAGTCTAAAACAAAACATACGCAACATTTAACAGTTGATGTTTTATTATGAAAAACAATTATCCAAAAACGGCATTTGAAATGGACAAGATAAAAAAACCCCATGTACTTAAAGTTCTGCAAGCCGGTTGATCGTGCTGTGTGTACTGTCCAGTAGTCGATCAGACCCGCAGAATCGACGTCGATCTATTTTAAAGTCCCGTGCTACACACATGGCTCAGTATCGGATGTGACAACGATGGCTCTAGCAACGATGCAGGTCCTAATACGGCATCGAACTGAGTACACGAGTCTCCTGACATCCTGATTTGGGATCCTACGCCATTCTTCCTGCAGGGTTCTTGCCAAAGCATCCCTTCTCCGAATCCTGTGTCCAAGTTGGTACAAGAAGTGCTCTATGGACGACAGGTCCGGTGATCTGGCTGGCCACTGCAATACGGTCACGTTGTTGGCGTTCAGAAAGACGCAAGTGGCTCGAGCTGTGTGAGGGGTTGCGTTGTCCTGCTGAAACAGCGTCCATGGGTGTCGTTGCAGGAAAGGCAGTATCACAGGCCGCAAAACCTCATCAACGTAACGGCGTGCAGTGAGATTTGGGAATCTGGACCTCAGGTGAAGCACCCGTAAATAGCGGTTTTCCTATGGGGTCGTGACCTCTGGTCCTCCACTCCTCGGCCTTTCTGCAGTACTGCCAGTTTGCCTGTGACGTGTGACACGCCTGGCGATGGTGCACTTGAAGCAGCCCATGACCCTGGCAACGTGCTCCTGCGTGGCTCCAATTTGCAACATACCGATGTCTCTCTCCCTCTGCTCTGCGTTTAGTCGAGGCATGTTCGTTGTTTTAAACGGTTTCATGTGATGAGAGAGTGCAATCCTGCTCATGTTTTATACTAGAATTTCATACGAGTAACTTTGTGCACATTTTGCATTTTTTAGTGATTAAATGATCTTTTCTCGAAAATCACCTGAAACCCATGCACATGTTCACAGAGAATAGGTAAGTTGCATTCCAGCTATGTGTTCCCAACTGTTTTCGTGCTGTTTGGCAAATGTGTTGAAAACTGACGACCAATATTTATTTAGTGGCGTTTCGTTTGACCCTCAGTTTATTTGGATTACTGAAAATCAGTGATGATACCATGTGTTAGCGAAAAGTATCGTTTGCATGCAACCACATTTAATGTTGAGTATGTAGTGTTGATTGTTTCCATTTGTCCTGGGTACAGCAACTTCCCCTTTACAGTTGTATTGCATCATCGTTACATATTAATGTATGTTACAATCAATTGTGCAGATGCAGTGTTACACGCGGGTATCCGATATTGCATTGTCATATAATGTCTTTGAGTGAGTGAGTGAGCGTTTGACACTATTTCAGTACAGACGGATATTATTTTGGTGAAACGCTCGAGAATGGGTCTGTTGCACATCGTGTTGGCAACTTTGTAACCATCACCCATATATCGAATTCTTCGAAAGTCGGTGTAACAGAAAATACATGTGACAGCATCACCAATATATCATCACCTTGCCGGCCTCGATGAGACCAGTTACCATGACAACGATTCTGCATTCTTCCTGCCAGATCATCCCCCAGAAGTTATCAACAATCTCGAGTCTGTAGGGCCCTGTGAACGATATCAGCTCTTTCAGTACTTTGATATACATAGAGCACGTTGTTTCTGGCTTCATCAATACAGAATAACAAAACACTCATATATATCAAGGTTTTCAAGCCTATATACTCTTACGACATTGCAGTGGTGGTCATTAATGTACCAATCAATCATACCTTGTGCTGCTATGTAGCGCCTTTCGTTGTCGTATCCCTACAAAAACAATATTGTGGTCAGGTTACACTAGAAACTGCAAATGTCAGATTATGTTTGCATAAACCCATTCAGAAACAATTATATGATCATATATCATACTGCGCATACACCGCACTTTATAACATATAATAAGACTATTCCATGGGCTATAGACATAATTTTACCACTAAACAATGCTATGTCACACTGAGCATATCTTGTAATTGATCATTGTAACATAACAGTGTGGCTTTAACCTCAATTAAACACTAAACGGTCATATCTCACACTGAGCATATCTTGTAATTTATAACATATATTGATACGATACGGTGGGTTACGGCCATAATGTAACACTAAACGCTCACGTCCACATAGCTTGCGTTGATGTAGTCTCCTCCACCGCCGCTGTTGTCGTCATGCAGCACCACACGGTTGTAGTCATCTATACAAAGACAGAACACCAGATCAGGGGCGTAATGTTACAAAATGTGATAAATTATAACCCGGTGTTACATTACATTCAAGTTTAAACGTGCAGCCATTGTACTTTATAGTAATAAATAAGATAATGTGTACTCTGGTGCTTTGCCCTGGCGGTAGCACCCGCCACTCGCAATATGTGCATAAATTAGTCATGTTTATATACCAACAATTCAAAGGCATTTTTAGAATCTGTCCGGTAGCCTTGTGGTTAAAACGTTCACTCGACACGCCGAAAACCCGGGTTCGATATCCGACTTTGGTACAATGTGTGAAGCCCGTTTCCGGTGTTCCCGCCGTGATATTGCTGGAATATTGCTAAAAGCACTCACACCCTCACTCAAAAGCATTTTGGGAAAACGATTTTTTACTGTTATGTGTGTACGTCCTATGTACCACTGCACCATTGTAAGACTATCAGCATTGGTTCGGATAGCAATATGTACCAGTACCACTTCACTAACTTACACGGGTAGTAGCCTTTAAATCTGTTCTTCCCTTTGTTTTCCGACAGCTGAGATTCTTGGTGGGGGTGCATGAAACCACCCGGCAACTCCTGAAAGTAACAAAGATACCAGTAGCCGATCAGTGCCTGACGCTCATGTCACCTTCAAACATATATCGAAACAGCAGAACTGATCTATTTTCAAGCCATTATAAAAAAGACCTGAAACTCGTCCTCAGCCTCCTCCGGTCGTTCCACCATTCCCCGAACCTTGACCTCTAACTCTGACACAGGTATCGCAGTACCCATCCCCACTTCCCCAACGTTGAAGTAGTGCCTGTCCTGGAGATTCACATCAGCATCTGGTTCAAGGACAGGCGGATCATGGTCCTGCTCAACCTGGATGATGTCCTGTTGCAGTGGCGGTTCTATGTCACCATCTTCCTCATCTACTCCTCTTTCTGCTGTATCTCCCACTTCCTTACCATCTGAGAACATATGACACACATAACAGTCATATAATGACACACACACTAGTCACATCTGACAATATATGCCACCCATACTTGTCAAACATTTTATTTTTTCTGGAACGTTTGAATTATACTCTTTAAAAAAAGGAACGCAAAGCCAGATTTGTGTGAGGTAGGAAAATACATTTATGCGAGGAACCGTACAAGAAATTGACATCTCAGTTATCGGTACATAGGAAAAGTCCAAGGTGAAGGTCAGCTACCATGAATAACGCGTATGTCCCCTGTTGGAATCGATAGCGGCCTGACATCTCCACCACTCGGCCCTGCAACGACTGCAACGACTGGGGTTGTGGTTGACGTCGACTTCATCCTACAGGTGCTCTATCGGGTTCAAATCCGGAGATCTGGAGGGCCAGGGGAGAACATCAACGTTGTTGTGACCCGTGCTGTATGCACCGTTGACGTTGGCTGCAATTGGGAGGACGTGTGGTCGGAGAATTTCGTTGATGTATCGTTGAGCCGTAAGATTGTCCTGGGTGATGATAGATAGCCGCCCACATCATAACGCTACCCTCACCTAACCTGTCCACTTCCTGTAAGCAGTTTCCGGCGTAACGTTCTCCTCGACGGCTGTAGACTCTTCCATTCCCTCGACGGTGGAGTAATCTTGATTCGTCGCTGAACCAGACATCTCTCCATCGCATTTAAGGCCATACCATGTGTTTACACCAATACACCAAGTCGTTGCAGTCGTTGTTGACGATGTTGTCGACTCAATGGGACGCGTCGAACAGGACATCTTGCTCAGGGACCAGGGGCCCGTTCCACAAAGCAATCTTAGTACTATGATTGTCGTAAGCCTATGTTAAAGTATGGCAGTTACGATCATCTTAGCGCTAAGATCGCTTTGTGGAACGGGGCCCTGGTCGGAGATTCTGCACATTCCGGGTATTTGGGATGCGGCTGAGGTTTCTGTGGTCGTCCTTTCAAATGGTTAAACCCTGGCTATACCCGATCGGGATATCTATGTCTGCAAGCGGCCTATGACGTTGTTTCGTTGCACTTCTGATAATCTTGGCATGCTGTTGAACTGTCGTGGTGCGATTGACGCAGATGCCAGGCAATCAAAACCAAAGCACATTAATACCGTTCATAGTGGTAATCCTGCAGTACGTGCAGCTCCATGACCTTTTTGTAAATGCACTTGGTGTGTTTCCCGACTAATGGTTGGAATCATTTTGATCCGGGAAAGTTGTCACTGACACTATAACATATTAAATATTTTAATTTTGCACCCCTTAGTCCGCTAATTTTCCTTTTATGGTCAAACCTTATTGGTATTGCGTTTCTTTTTTTGAAGAGTATATACGTTGACAATGGTTTAACATTATCAATATATTCATAAAAAAAAAATGATCGGGTCACGGGTCGCCCAGTCGTCTAAGGAACCGTATTTTGCCTTGAAGGGTTCCGTCCCATGTGGACTGCCTCCGTGCTCTAGTTGTAGAGCGCCCGCCCGGAGAGCGGAAGGTCCGGGGCTAGATCCCCGGCCGCGTCATACCAAAAGACGTTAAAAGATGGTACTTGTTACCCTGTCTGACGCTCGGCATTAAGGGGCTAAAACAAGGACTGGTCGGCTCGGAGTCAGTATACTGTGACTGAGTGGGATATTCAAGTTAAACTCCGGCATGGTATCTCAGTGTTCTAGCACTATGAATCGGCGTCAGTCCGGACTAGTACAAGCAGCCAGACACACACACGTGCATGCACGTCGCTAAATAACTGCAACAATCTTGGACGCGACGTTAAACGCCATTTCACCTCACCTCCGTCCAATGTGCACGCTAGAAACCAATGATCGTGGGTTCGAATCCCTAAATATGTTTCGAGGTTTCACAGCACCATACCCGTGCTCGATGGTTTCACCAAAGTGGTAAACTTCTGAGGATTGCATCACTTCGGACATTACTTCCACATTAAGCTGACACGCTGTGATGTAACTGAGAGATTTTTCAAAGAAAAGCTAAAACCCATGTCACTCACTCATTTCACTTCCCAGTTTCTTACCAAACACGCCATGTACGGAAAACTCAAAGATGAAAACGGGTTGATGACAGTCAAGACTAGATTTGTGCCAATGAGCCATGATCTTTGGGCAGTGTTACGTGTTACATTTTTCATTCTTATAATTTCCTTAATTCAGAAATGCTTTTTTGTAGTTTATGTCAAACGAATACATTATTATTCCATCCTCCTCAATGTCAAATGCGCTACAAATTCCTGAACCAAATCTTAAACGATCGAAACAATGCTTTGTTAATCATTTATGCAACAAATAACCGAAACGAAAGTATAAGGGTGTGTAGCATCATCCACGAATTATTTGCGTTAATAGACAATGCTTACCGCGGTTTTCCGATCTTGTAGAATTCCAATTTTCCGTTTGTCCAACAGGACGTTTTCGAAACGATGCTGCGGACTGTTTTCTCTTTCGTCGTCTGGAAATATGAAGAAAATTTACAACCATAAGAAACAGGTAACGTACTCCCGGCAACCATTAAGGGTTTTGAAAACATTGTACTTACACCAGCAATACCGTGATGATGACGAAGAACAGAAGTATCACAGCAGCGGTTGCACATCCCACAATGGTAGACACAGGTAAGGTTTCCTGACCTTGAATAACAAAACATATTATTGGGAAGTTATTGTATGATTTAGGGCCTCAGTAAAGTTTCAAACGTTGTTTGGTCTACGCATCAGTGACAAATATAATGTCCGATGCAGTTTCTTAACAGGATTTGTGCCATATGTTCCCTGTTTTTTTTAGTAAAAAAATATTTCAAGTATAAAGCGTCAAATTCCAGTCAGCTCATGGTGACTGATTCTACCCGACAACAGGCTCATACGTCTCAGCTGTGCGTGTCTTGTCAGATGATATTAACTAAAAATCCGAAACAAAAATGAAAACGGATACTCTTATCTTGATTTCCCTGATTAACGAATGAAATCGTGGCATATCTGTTTGCAGCACAAAGTATGATACATATCAATTCAACATCATCTGCTCATCATTTAAGATGTATTTGTATTTTTTGTTAAAGCATTACAGGATTGACAATGATTGTGGCGCTATTATTGTTCTGTGCAAGTGGACCCTGCTGTGGCACAAATGGAATGTTACGTTGTCCAACGGCAGATTCTAAGAGACCTGTCTGAATAATTTGACGATACTTTTCTGAGTTAATGTTATCCCCAACAAGGACTCCTATCATAGTGATACAACCACACACTGCCAGACGGGGTGAAAGCTTCGGAACCATTTCACAGATTCCCCTCCTCTGGACCTTTTTTTCCCACATTTCTGTACAGCTGGAACACTGACTCATCTATACAAATCACATTATCTAAACTTGCAAGGATTTTACCAGTACATCCGGCCAGGCGACCATATATGCATCATTTATTGGATGGATTTACCGTTATTTCCAGTAGCTAATGTGTTCTACTAACTGTCCATTCTGATGCCTCTCCTCCCAATTCCCAAACCAAGGAGTTTGGCAGACAACATTGGATGAGCGCAGGCAAGTCGATCAACACGTCGCCTGTTTTTGGCGTATAAATACATGCACTGATCTCAGCTGACACAATGCATCGATGCCCAAGCCAATCTGCTTTAGATTATGGTACACAATGGAGAGGAATGCCGGCCAGGCTATGCATCTCGCGTGTAGTTTTGTACCCGTTTGTGTACAGATGATAAGGAAATTCTGATATGTTCGAGGATAATATACTATAAACTTTGAAATATACTGATAGTTCATGGTTGAAGGAATACTGAATGGTTGTCAAATTGTGCCCAAAAAAGCTCATCTGTTTATTTTCAAAGATAAGATGTCTAAGATACCCTTCAGCAGTTGTGTATTATGAGATTTGGTTCTAATTTTTAAGTTTGAAATCAAATTGTACTTTAAAGAATAAAATAAGGATAAAATCAACTGAGAGGTACAGTCTCTTTTGCCTCTCGGTATATTTTGAAGTATGCAAGCAATGTTATTACGAAAACATACATTGTGTACAGTCATCGCCCGTACAACACACACGACATCCAGTGTCACATGACCCGCTGTAGCGGTCACATGATGAGTCGGTGCCAGCGCACTTCCTCGCCACACATGCCTTGTTACAGTTAAGACCGTAGTGGACGGCGTTGCATTCTGACATAACGTATGTGTATTCTCATAATGAAATCACAAAATAATCGCCTTAAAAAGTAAGTCAATAACTGATTTGTTTCCTGATATGATGGATGTTTCAGCTATGCAGAACCGTTAATAATGACATTTTTGGAAAAAGTGACCTGATAAAAGGGGATTCGTTTCATTGAGGTGAAGGCAAAAGGCAAATGCTGTGCACCGTGGAGACAAGGTACGATGCATGCAGGTTTACCTCTGCTACAGTCTTCTCCCGTCCATCCGACCTTACATCCGGGCTCACACTTCCCAGTCACGTGATGACATGGCGAAGTTCCCTGACAGTTTCTTTCCTGACATTTGTTCGCGCATCCGACTCCGTAAGTTCCTTGGCTACATACTGCAAACATAAAATGGAAGTAGAATTGCATATATTTATACTTTTTAGATGATTTAGATATATTAGAGCGATAATTCGAAGAGACATTATCTTAAAACAGTTCGACTTAGATATCAGAATGTTCCAGAAGGAGGACTGGGAATGTTCGAGAATGTTGGCTAAATCCATGAAATACACTGTATAACATCTTTTCATCATATGAATAACACTGAAGGCAATCATGAAAAGAGAAGTAGCAGGTTATACCTCGGGTGCACTGACTGCCTCTCCATCCTGGAAGGCATCCAGCGACACAGGACCCGGTATGACGATCAGATGGTGTGGTGCCAGCTACACATTTTCGTTCCCCACAGGTTTTGTTACAGTTTATTCCATAGTTGCCTGATTTGAGGGTCACAGCTTATCGGATAAAAAAACCCTATATAAACAGCACCGTCAGTGAAGTCGGCAGTGGAGGGCACTGAACAGGACCAGACCGGCAGAGCAGTCCAGAAGAAACGGCATAAGACACAAGCCAATGGCCAACAGCTAACGGTCGACTCATCGCTCAGAAGGCCAGCACACTGGGACAAACTCTAGTCACACTTGGTCACGCCTGAAACTGCCCATAGCCTCTCTCACAGTCTCTACTAACCGTTAGTAGTACCAGCGTATAGACAGTCCTTACTATTAAAGCTGCTGAAAGCAGAGACCGTTTTGTCTGTTGTTCTACACTAGGTCACTGAAAATGATGTGTAAATTTTGTACAATCGATTACCGTCTGTTGATTACTTATGATGTATAAAAGGGTGGTTGCTGAGCATTTTCCTCTTTGAATATATGAAATCTACATGATATTAAATTTATTTAACGTTCAACATTGTTGCCACTCAAAGTTTACATTGAATAACATGTGACCGGCCATATCGCCAATTATTCAAAACTGAAGAAAAGATCATGATGCGTTATGCAATGTCCAATTTGCTATTTAAAACATGATCATGACATTATCTATACACCTGTCAAAATGCTTTACAAGTGTAGAATAAGGGCAACACGCACGCAGACAACTAGATCACAGTACACCTGATAGTAAGACGTCCTCACCTGTATCACACCTGTCTCCCTGCTACCCTGGTCTACAGTCTCGAGGACACACACCACTGACTGGATCACACTACACCTGACAGTAAGACCTCCACACCTGTATCACACCTCTGTCCTTGCCACCCTGGTCTACTGTCTCCATGACACACACCACTGACTGGGTCACACTACACCTGACAGTAAGACCTCCTCACCTGTATCACACCTCTGTCCCTGCCACCCTGGTCTAGAGTGTCCAGGACACACACCACTAGCTGGGTCACACTACACCTGACAGTAAGACCTCCTCACCTGTATCACACCTGTCTCCCTGCCACCCTGGTCTACAGTCTCCAGGACACACAACGCTGACTGGACAACACTACACCTGACCATAAGACCTCCTCACCTGCATCACACCTATCTCCCTGCCATCCTGGTCTACAGTCTCAAGGACACATGCCGTTGACTGGACAACACTACACCTGACAGTAAGATCTCCTCACCTGTATCACACCTGTCTCCCTGCCACCCTGGTCTACAGTCTCCAGGACACACACCACTGACTGGACAACACTACACCTGACAGTAAGATCTCCTCACCTGTATCACACCTGTCTTCCTGCCACCCTGGTCTACAGCCACCAGGACACGTGCCGTTGACTGGGTCACAGGAGCTCTTCAGACAGTGGCATAATTCGTTGCAGAAATTGCCATATGTCCCATGGCTGCACACTGCGCATACAAAAAGCAGGAATCACACATGTCATATTCAAGTGAAACATCGTTAATTCAAGTGTTGTTCTTGAGCACAAGACAGGGTAACAACAAGTACCATGTTTAAAAGCCTTTTGGTATGACGCGGCTGGGGATTCAACCCCCGACCTACCGCTCTCTGGGTAGACGCTTTGTCAATAGACCACAGAGGTGGTCAGAAGACGTGCGGTGTTTGAGTATATTAATACTATTCTAATGTATTCTAACTGTATGTACGATTCAATAACAAGACAAAACTCCTGAATCACACAAAAACTACTCAGTCATGATACTGCGTTGAGCTTTAATAACGTAAAACGTCAACGCCAAAGAATAACCAAACTGATTGCAGTAGGCATAAAAGGCAGAAGAGCGGTGAAAATAATATGAACGGATCAGGTGTCTGTTTGTTGCTTGGGACGGCGAATTGTAAACAAATCAGACAATGAATTGATAGATCAGAAAGTCCAGTGACATGAAAGCGCATTTGCTTAACTCATTGTACTTAAAATAAAGTTTGGAGGCATTTTGTAAATATTTTACAGTGGCTTTTTCATACACTGGTCTTCTCTGTGCATTTGCAAAACCAGATCAGTGGCAGGGTCATGAAACTTTGTTTGCCTTCTATGACATCATATTTCTTCGAAATAAAATTACAACAAATATTTTTATTTGGAGAATGTCTTCTTGAAATATAAGTCCTCAAATTAATCAAGGTTTATTGAGGTACATAAGGCGTCGTAATTTCGACTTACATTTCAGAATGTTCCAGAAGTAGTACTGGGAATGTTCGAGAATCATTGCTTAAAGCAACCATGAAATTCACTGTATAACATCTTTTCATTATGTGAATAACATTGAAGATCATTCTTAAAGTAGCAGGTTATACCTCGGGTGCAGTCACTGCCTCTCCACCCTGGAAGGCATCCTCCGACACACGACCCGTTATGACGATCACATGATGTGTTGCCAGCTACACACTTTCGTTCCGCACAGGCTTTGTTACAGTTTATTCCATAGTTCCCTGTGTCACATTCTTGAGTAGACGTGAGATTGACATGAAAAAAGAAAGTAAAATATGTTTTATCAGCCTCAAGGTGCTGTTCAAGAGTGTTAAAATAAAAGGGTCATGCTCATGTTGATATCAACTTTTGATATTACGAGTCACTTGTGTCGACAATGTTTTTACATCTGGCTAAAATGTATGAAATATACCATTTTAAACTTGGTGCAGGTCCTTAGTATCAGTTTTATTGAAGTCCGCCCATAACGCACATTAAGGCAAACTTAGGTGGCCTATTGGGTTTTTGCAACTCTTTCATATCGACATCTCACATGTACTCTGCTAAAATAGAAACGCAAAAGAACTTAAATCCAGTGTTGCCGACATCCATACAAAATGAATACCAAAAAGGAATTGGTCATTTCTGCATGGATTGGGATTGATTTGTGTGGAAAGAATGAGGTACTGCAGAAATTTGGTGGTGAGATGAACAAATGGCAATAACCCACTCACGAGAGAGCCTGGCGCTGAAACACTCCAACATGATCTGCACGTGCAAATTCACTTGTCGGGCATTCATTTGCATTCCATCAGGTCGTACAGCAAGTGAACAGGGAAAACATGCCACAACTGACGGAATCCCAATGCAACAACTCCATCGGCCGATTGCAAACAGGAGAATTATCTTCAGCACTAGCCTGGTTTTACCACGTAGCACCAAACACCATTACAAGACTGACTGTGGAACCGTTATCAGACACGCGGCACCTTCCAATTCTAGTCGACAATCACAGAACTTCCGACAGTTACCACAAGCACTGCAGGCAGAGTTGGTGAACATGCCCAAGGCCACAATTCAGTATCTGATTGCTTCCATTGGACGATGATGCCAGTCACGTTTGGACCCTTATGGTGGCCATTCAAGATATTGAGAACAGATGACCTCCACTTTGAAAGTCTACTGTTCCATGTGTCCCGTACGGAACCTGGGCCAATAAAAATGATGTGCCAATTTTGAACAATCGATTACCGTCTGTTGATGATTTATGATGTATAAAAGGGTGTGTGCTGTTACAGAGTAACAGTTTTCGGCAATGTATGCTCCCTGGCTGTCGGAACTCTCCTGTGCATGAGTCAAATTTGTTGTTGCGTTATGGTACGCGAGACAAACCACACCGTTCGCTCTCGCAATAAGGAAAATTAGGTTTTGACCACTTGTGAAAAACCACAGTGTGAGTATTGGCAGTATTTGTATAATAGAATGTTCAAGATTGTTTGTGTACAGTTTAATTGGGCTGTCATAGGATAATATGTCATGAATTTGCTTTGACAAGCCTTGTACAGTGACTAAGTTTCGCGCGTTTTTTGAATATGCTGACACATTCAATTTATGTCGTAGATATCCTTTATAATCTATTGTCACATGAGGTTACATGTAAAAGGATATTTCTTACGTTGTTTACGTGTGTTTTTAAACTCTGTTTAAAAGCATTTTGGACTCCAAGTTGTTATTTTTGTTGCATAGCAAATTACCATAATTATCCTAAAATGAGGACACTCATATTATATGCTAGCGACCAGGTTAAGTAATCATTTGTGTTTGTATTTCTTACAGCCTTTTACCCTTTATGAGAACCTCCATCTACAGAATAAACACCTTCAAATCTGATACACTTGTACCATCATTTTTTGAATGGAAGAGGTTCGGTGTTTTCCGACTTGTAGCTCCCAAGGGTGATGCAAGTACAGGGTGGTTGCTGAGGATTTTTCAATTTGAATATATGATATCTACAGAATGATGTATTACATGTATGTAACGTTCAACACTGTTGCCCTTCAAAGTTTATATTGAACAACATGTGATCGGCCATATTGCCATTATTCAAAACATGTCATAAAGAAAATATCATGATTCGTATGCAATGGCCAATTTTGCTATTTAAAACATGATCACCATGGTGATAATTTATATACCTGTCACAATGCTTTACAAGTGCCACCCTGGTCTACAGTGTCCAGGACGCACACCACTGACTGGGTAATACTACACCTGACAGTAAGACCTCCTCACCTGTATCACACCTGTCTCCCTGCCACCCTGGTCGACAGTCTCCAGGACACACACCACTGACTGGACAATACTACACCTGACAGTAAGACCTCCTCACCTGTATCACACCTGTCTCCCTGCCACCCCGGTCTTCAGTCTCCAGGACACACACCACTGACTGGGTAACACTACACCTGACAGTAAGACCTCCTCACCTGTATCACACCTGTCTCCCTGCCACCCCGGTCTTCAGTCTCCAGGACACACACCACTGACTGGGTAACACTACACCTGACAGTAAGACCTCCTCACCTGTATCACACCTGTCTCCCTGCCACCCCGGTCTACAGTCTCCAGGACACACACCACTGATTGGGTCACACTACACCTGACAGTAAGACCTCCTCACCTGTATCACACCTGTCTCCCTGCTACCCCGGTCTACAGTCTCCAGGACACACACCAGTGACTGGACAATACTACACCTGACAGTAAGACCTCCTCACCTGTATCACACCTGTCTCCCTGCCACCCTGGTCGACAGTCTCCAGGACACACACCACTGACTGGGTCACACTACTCCTGACAGTAAGACCTCCTCACCTGTATCACACCTGTCTCCCTGCCACCCTGGTCTACAGTCTCCAGGACACACACCACTGACTGGGTCACACTACTCCTGACAGTAAGACCTCCTCACCTGTATCACACCTGTCTCCCTGCCACCCTGGTCGACAGTCTCCAGGACGCAAACCACTGATTGGACAGAACTACACCTGACAGTAAAACCTCCTCACCTGTATCACACCTGTCTCCCTGCCACCCTGGTCTACAGTCTCCAGGACACACACCACTGACTGGAGAACACTACACCTGACAGTAAGACCTCCTCACCTGTATCACACCTGTCTCCCTGCCACCCTGGTCTACAGTCTCCAGGACGCACACCACTGACTGGACAAAACTACACCTGACAGTAAGACCTCCTCACCTGTATCACACCTGTCTCCCTGCCACCCTGGTCGAAAGTCTCCAGGACACACACCACTGACTGGGTAACACTACACCTGACAGTAAGACCTCCTCACCTGTATCACACCTGTCTCCCTGCCACCCTGGTCGACAGTCTCCAGGACACAAACCACTGACTGGACAGAACTACACCTGACAGTAAAACCTCCTCACCTGTATCACACCTGTCTCCCTGCCACCCTGGTCTACAGTCTCCAGGACACACACCACTGACTGGAGAACACTACACCTGACAGTAAGACCTCCTGACCTGTATCACACCTGTCTCCCTGCCACCCTGGTCTACAGTCTCCAGGACGCACACCACTGACTGGACAAAACTACACCCGACAGTAAGACCTCCTCACCTGTATCACACCTCTCTCCCTGCCACCCTGGTCTACAGTCTCCAGGACACACACCACTGACTGGAGAACACTACACCTGACAGTAAGACCTCTTCACCTGTATCACACCTGTCTCCCTGCCACCCTGGTCTACAGTCTCCAGGACGCACACCACTGACTGGACAAAACTACACCTGACAGTAAGACCTCCTCACCTGTATCACACCTGTCTCCCTGCCACCCTGGTCGACAGTCTCCAGGACACACACCACTGACTGGGTAACACTACACCTGACAGTAAGACCTCCTCACCTGTATCACACCTGTCTCCTTGCCACCCTGGTCTACAGTCTCAAGGACACACACCACTGACTGGGTCACACTACACCTGACAGTAAGACCTCCTCACCTGTATCATACCTGTCTCCCTGCCACCCTGGTCTAGAGTCTCCAGGACACACACCACTGACTGGGTAACACTACACCTGACAGTAAGACCTCCTCACCTGTATCACACCTGTCTCCCTGCCACCCTGGTCGACAGTCTCCAGGACACACACCACTGACTGGAGAACACTACACCTGACAGTAAGACCTCCTCACCTGTATCACACCTGTCTCCCTGCCACCCTGGTCTACAGTCTCCAGGACGCACACCAGTGACTGGACAATACTACACCTGACAGTAAGACCTCCTCACCTGTATCACACCTGTCTCCCTGCTACCCCGGTCTACAGTCTCCAGGACACACACCACTGACTGGGTAACACTGCACCTGACAGTAAGACCTCCTCACCTGTATCACACCTGTCTCCCTGCCACCCTGGTCTACAGTCTCCTGGACACACACCTCTGACTGGGTCACACTACACCTGACAGTAAGACCTCCACACCAGTATCACAACTCTGTCCCTGCTACCCTGGTCTACAGTCTCCAGGGCACACACCACTGACTGGACAATACTACACCTGACAGTAAGACCTCCTCACCTGTATCACACCTGTCTCCCTGCCACCCTGGTCGACAGTCTCCAGGACACACACCACTGACTGGAGAACACTACACCTGACAGTAAGACCTCCTCACCTGTATCACACCTGTCTCCCTGCCACCCTGGTCGACAGTCTCCAGGACACACACCACTGACTGGGTAACACTACACCTGACAGTAAGACCTCCTCACCTGTATCACATCTGTCTCCCTGCCACCCCGGTCTACAGTCTCCGGGACACACACCACTGACTGGGTAACACTACACCTGACAGTAAGACCTCCTCACCTGTATCACACCTGTCTCCCTGCCACACTGGTCTACAGTCTCCAGGACACACACCTCTGACTGGGTCACACTACACCTGACAGTAAGACCTCCTCACCTGTATCATACCTGTCTCCCTGCCACCCCGGTCTAGAGTGTCCAGGACACACACCACTGACTGGGTAACACTACACCTGACAGTAAGACCTCCTCACCTGTATCACACCTGTCCCCTGCCACCCTGGTCGACAGTCTCCTGGACACACACCACTGACTGGAGAACACTACACCTGACAGTAAGACCTCCTCACCTGTATCACACCTGTCTCCCTGCCACCCCGGTCTACAGTCTCCAGGACGCACACCACTGACTGGACAATACTACACCTGACAGTAAGACCTCCTCACCTGTATCACACCTGTCTCCCTGCCACCCTGGTCTACAGTCTCCAGGACACACACCTCTGACTGGGTCACACTACACCTGACAGTAAGACCTCCACACCTGTATCACAACTCTGTCCCTGCTACCCTGGTCTACAGTCTCCAGGACACACACCACTGACTGGGTCACACTACACCTGACAGTAAGACCTCCTCACCTGTATAACACCTGTCTCCCTGCCACCCTGGTCCACAGTCTCCAGGACACACACCACTGACTGGGTCACACTACACCTGACAGTAAGACCTCCTCACCTGTATCACACCTGTCCCCCTGCCACCCTGGTCGACAGTCTCCAGGACGCACACCACTGACTGGACAAAACTACACCCGACAGTAAGACCTCCTCACCTGTATCACACCTGTCTCCCTGCAACCCTGGTCTACAGTCTCCTGGACACACACCTCTGACTGGGTCACACCACACCTGACAGTAAGACCTCCACACCTGTATCACAACTCTGTCCCTGCTACCCTGGTCGACAGTCTCCAGGACACACACAACTGACTGGGTAACACTACACCTGACAGTAAGACCTCCTCACCTGTATCACATCTGTCTCCCTGCCACCCCGGTCTACAGTCTCCGGGACACACACCACTGACTGGGTAACACTACACCTGACAGTAAGACCTCCTCACCTGTATCATACCTGTCTCCCTGCCACCCCGGTCTAGAGTGTCCAGGACACACACCACTCACTGGGTAACACTACACCTGACAGTAAGACCTCCTCACCTGTATCACATCTGTCCCCTGCCACCCTGGTCGACAGTCTCCTGGACACACACCACTGACTGGGTCACACTACACCTGACAGTAAGACCTCCTCGCCTGTATCACACCTGTCTCCCTGCCACCCTGGTCTACAGTCTCCAGGACGCACACCAGTGACTGGACAATACTACACCTGACAGTAAGACCTCCTCACCTGTATCACACCTGTCTCCCTGCCACCCCGGTCTACAGTTTCCAGGACACACACCACTGACTGGAGAACACTACACCTGACAGTAAGACCTCCTCACTTGTATCACACCTGTCTCCCTGCCACCCCGGTCTACAGTCTCCAGGACACACACCACTGACTGGGTCACACTACACCTGACAGTAAGACCTCCTCACCTGTATCAAACCTGTCCCCCTGCCACCCTGGTCTACAGTCTCCAGGACGCACACCACTGACTGGACAAAACTACACCCGACAGTAAGACCTCCTCACCTGTATCACACCTGTCCCCCTGCCACCCTGGTCTACAGTCTCCAGGACGCACACCACTGACTGGGTCACACTACACCTGACAGTAAGACCTCCTCACCTGTATCACACCTGTCCCCCTGCCACCCTGGTCGACAGTCTCCAGGACGCACACCACTGACTGGACAAAACTACACCCGACAGTAAGACCTCCTCACCTGTATCACATCTGTCTCACTGCCACCCCGGTCTACAGTCTCCGGGACACACACCACTGACTGGGTAACACTACACCTGACAGTAAGACCTCCTCATCTGTATCACACCAGTCTCCCTGCCACACTGGTCTACAGTCTCCAGGACACACACCTCTGACTGGGTCACACTACACCTGACAGTAAGACCTCCACACCTGTATCACACCTGTCTCCCTGCCACCCTGGTCGACAGTCTCCAGGACACACACCACTGACTGGAGAACACTACACCTGACAGTAAGACCTCCTCACCTGTATCACACCTGTCTCCCTGCCACCCTGGTCGACAGTCTCCAGGACACACACCACTGACTGGAGAACACTACACCTGACAGTAAGACCTCCTCACCTGTATCACACCTGTCTCCCTGCCACCCTGGTCTACAGTCTCCAGGACACACACCACTGACTGGGTAACACTACACCTGACAGTAAGACCTCCTCACCTGTATCACACCTGTCTCCCTGCCACCCTGGTCTACAGTCTCCAGGACACACACCTCTGACTGGGTCACACTACACCTGACAGTAAGACCTCCTCACCTGTATCACACCTGTCTCCCTGCCACCCTGGTCGACAGTCTCCAGGACACACACAACTGACTGGAGAACACTACACCTGACAGTAAGACCTCCTCACCTGTATCACACCTGTCTCCCTGCCACCCTGGTCGACAGTCTCCAGGACACACACAACTGACTGGAGAACACTACACCTGACAGTAAGACCTCCTCACCTGTATCACACCTGTCTCCCTGCCACCCTGGTCGACAGTCTCCAGGACGCACACCACTGACTGGACAATACTACACTTGACAGTAAGACCTTCTGACCTGTATCACACCTGTCTCCCTGCCACCCCGGTCTACAGTTTCCAGGACACACACCACTGACTGGAGAACACTACACCTGACAGTAAGACCTCCTCACCTGTATCACACCTGTCTCCCTGCCACCCCTGGTCTACAGTCTCCAGGACACACACCACTGACTGGGTCACACTACACCTGACAGTAAGACCTCCTCACCTGTATCACACCTGTCCCCCTGCCACCCTGGTCGACAGTCTCCAGGACGCACACCACTGACTGGACAAAACTACACCCGACAGTAAGACCTCCTCACCTGTATCACACCTGTCCCCCTGCCACCCTGGTCAACAGTCTCCAGGACGCACACCACTGACTGGGTAACACTACACCTGACAGTAAGACCTCCTCACCTGTATCACACCTGTCTCCCTGCCACCCCGGTCTACAGTCTCCAGGACACACACCACTGACTGGGTCACACTACACTTGACAGTAAGACCTCCTCACCTGTATCACACCTGTCCCCCTGCCACCCTGGTCGACAGTCTCCAGGACGCACACCACTGACTGGACAAAACTACACCCGACAGTAAGACCTCCTCACCTGTATCACATTTGTCTCCCTGCCACCCTGGTCTACAGTCTCCAGGACACACACCACTGACTGGACAGAACTACACCTGACAATAAGACCTCCTCACCTGTATCACACCTGTCTCCCTGCCACCCTGGTCGACAGTCTCCAGGACGCACACCACTGACTGGACAACACTACACCTGACAGTAAGACCGCCTCACCTGTATCACACCTGTCTCCCTGCCACCCTGGTCTACAGTCTCCATGACACACACCTCTGACTGGACAAAACTACACCTGACAGTAAGACCCCCTCATCTGTATCACATCTGTCTCCCTGCCACCCTGGTCGACAGTCTCCAGGACACACACCACTGACTGGGTAACACTACACCTGACAGTAAGACCTCCTCACCTGTATCACACCTTTCTCCCTGCCACCCTGGGCTACAGTCTCAAGGACACACACCACTGACTGGGTCACACTACACATGACAGTAAGACCTCCTCACCTGTATCACACCTGTCTCCCTGCCACCCTGGTCTACAGTCTCCAGGACACACACCACTTAGTGGACAACACTACACCTGACAGTAAGACCTCCTCACCTGTATCACACCTTTCTCCCTGCCACCCGGGTCTACAGTCTCCTGGACACATACCACTGTCTGGGTCACAGGAGCTGTTTAGACAGTGGCAGAATTTGCCGCAGAATTTGCCATATGTCCCATGGCTGCAGACTGCACATACAAAAAGCAGGAATGACATACACGCTTGAAAAATAGAAACGAACAGGTAGTATGTAGATCACTGAACCTGACTATACAAAAAATCCGTTATATAAATAAGATATATGTTATTGGAAAATGTTGGTGTCCTGATATTCTACAAACGGTGCGTTAAAACGCAGCCAGGACTGAGATACCCTGCCGCAGTTTAACATGAATTACCCACTCAGACACAGTATACTGACTCCGAGCCAACCAGTTCTTGTTTTATCCCCTTAATGCCGAGCGCAAGACAGGGTAACAACATGTACCATCTTAAAACGTTTTTTTATGTATGTCGCGGCCGGGGATTCAACCCGCGACCTACCGCCCTCCGAGCAGACGCTCAATCACTAGACCACAGAGGTGGTCACAAGACGTGCGGTTTACGATTCAATAACAAGACAACACTCCTGAATCACACCAAACTACTTTAGTCATGATACTGCGTTGAACATTAATAACTGTTACGGCCAAAATGATAAATATATTATTTGGTATTTATGTGTTCTCGTAAGATTGTCGGAGAATTGCTATGGTTATCCCTAGTGCAGTAATGTATTGTCAAGTTTTTTAGCGGGTTGCAATTTTCCTGGTTACAGAGGGGAATAACTGCCTGGGTGTGGTATGTTTTATTTTGAAAGTATGTCGCCTGCCTGCCTGCAATCATGGCCATGTGGGTTATTCTTTTGGAAGAACAGAGGGTCTACAAACAGTATGAATTACTTTTTAGTAGTCTTTGCTTGGAAGCATTTTGTGTTAATATTATTAACTTATCAGCAGCACTTTCTATAGTATTCAGTCACGTTATTTAGTCTGTATTTTCACATGGCTTTCGAAGCTGTTTGCTGCATTCAAAACTCGCTCGCTTTGCACGAGGTGTTTAAAATAGATTTTGCAACAAGTTGTTTTGCGAGGGCTTTTCAAACTTATTATTTAACAGTAAATGCTTATTTATATAAATATTGGTTATACGACCTGACTGACATGTTTCGGTTCGCCAGAATCTCAAAGATGTAGACTTTGTAAAAATATAGCTTTATTGGTGAAGTTTGATACATAATGTTGTAATAGTATCACAATGTAAAATAGCATTATGTCATGCTATATTTTTCCCTATTTTCTTATTTATTGCAGTCATCTGTCACAAGTGAGACTTTAACATGTTCAACAACTGTAAACGCTATGAAATATGAACTGAACTTTGATATAAACTTACACTACAGTCTTCAGTCTTGCTTGTTTTCTGAATTGGCTATATAGATCTATCTACTATAGAGAAGAACGATAACTGGAACGTCAACGCCAAAGAATAACCAAACTGATTGCAGTAGGCATAAAAGGCAGAATAGCGGATCAGGTGCTTGTTTGTTGCTTGGGACGGCGAATTGTAAACAAATCAGACCATAAAGTGATCGATCGGAAAGCCCAGTGACATGAAAGTGCATTTGCTTAACTCGTTGAAATTAAACTAAATTTTGGAGGCATTTTATAAATACTTTACAGTTGCTATTACACTGGTCTCCTCTGTGTATTTGCAAAACCAAATCAGTAGTAGGGTCATGACCCTTTGTTTGCCTTCTATGACATCATATTTCTTCGATCTAAAATTGGAACAAATATTTTTATTTGGACAATTTCTTCTTGAAATATAAGTCCTCAAATTAATCAAGGTTTAAGGGGTACAAAAGGCGTCATAATCTAAATGGAAATATACAATGATATTCAATATAAACTTAAGCTGTATTGGTTCTTTGGATTATTCCATTTAATACTTTATTCATAGGTTTGTTTGACCTGGACAACTTCCAAATAATATCCTGTCTTTTCCACAGAATAAGTCATGATGGGAAATTAACAAACCATTTGCCTAAAGCCTAACTTTTGCACGAATTTAATGAAACACCATATAAATATATTATTTGTAGATATATTATCAAATAAGATGGCGGGTTACAAGTTTGTAGGTTATGTAACATATAATAGTACCTTGGCCGTCGAAATTAAGTTGGTCAGAGAGGCTCAACATTAGATAATGTGTGATGTTATTATATAATCAATGTTTATTTGTCCAGACCGGAGATTCCCTGTATTCAACATACCGTATATTTCCACTTCACAGATGTTGAGCGTGTCATCCCCTTCATCAGGGTTCCTGATGGTGAGGTATCTGCCGCTGCCGTTACACACCAGGTGGATCACGGAGTCAGTGACAGTGGCAGGGAAGGTGTAGCAGAGTTTCCCGTCAGTGGAGTTGTCATTATTCAGGTGTATGGTGCAGTTAGCGATCCTGTATAAAACTGAAATTTAAATCGTCCTGATACACTGATATTTCATTTACAGGATAGAACATAATGATAACAAATGTGGAGAATATGCCTTAATCTGTTCTGCATTTTGTGGGAGACGGATTTTCAAATTACTGCTAACGTATTACTGCCTCCTTGAGAAGACACAAAGATAGCATATATATCAAACAAAAATACATAACCATTTATAGCAAACATACCTTACATAAAATTCTTAACATTTACCTAAATCAATATATACCGGAGCAAAATGATAAGTTCAGTCTTGATAATTGACCATGTTCAAGTACAGAGGAACAATACCGAATCGAATTATAGATTTGACGACACTCGTTACGTGTGAATGGGACGTTGTGCACAAGCACAGCACAGGTGATCAGAGCATGTCACGCAGGCATTGTCTCAAAATTTCCTATGACACACTATGACGCGTTAATCAAGAAAGATTCACAATTACTGGATCGATTTTGCTTACGTTTAACCTCTGATTGACGATACTGTTGCTTAATCTCAATTACATGTCTTTCAGAATTTTGCCATACACGATGGTCAAATGAAGCTTGTACCAACATTTTAGCTTCTGACATTTTAAATGAGGTATTTTTTCCGGCAACACTTTTTTTACAATTCGGCCAGATCAGCTCTATTGTACACTATTACACTGTTTCACAATTTTCCACTGAAGTACAGGGTGCCCGAGATCAGCTGCAATCTTGTCTGTCTGATAAACAGGTGGCGTTTTGTAATATGCGACCTTCTCATACAAAACTGGTTTTGTATCCTTCGATGGAATCACGCTACTTCGCTCATAAAGCCAGTTTTGCATTACAGTTTTTCTTGAACTCATTTTGGGAGCCACACCTTAAGGAATCTTCATATTATGGTAACTAGCATTGTCCAGAACAATCAGACCTGGGTTATTTAGTTGTTGCAGTAGTTGATGCTCAAACCAATGCATGAAAGTTGTTCCATTCATTTCACGATTATAGTCATCATCATTAAACTATGCCTCAAAAACTAAATCTAAAACTATTTCTTTCACTGTTGGCGGAACCGTCCTTGCATATAGTTTGAGTATAGATCTGCGAATTGCAGACTTACGTTTCTTCCTCTGAACTGTCCTTAGAACTGATGAGATAGGCCCAGAATCTACAGCACTGGGTACTGTTACATAAAGCAATCGTAAGTTGATCGTTACTCCATACCTTAGGAGTACGGTCTTGACTGCCGATATCTCATATAGCAGTATCATATAGCACACTTGGATGTTTATGGATGTTCCTTTTTTGTTTTGTGCATTTCATTTTCTTTGAGCTGCAGTGTATTCGAAACCTTAAAAATATAATTAGCTTTTTTTTATTTATACAGTCAATTTAAGGGGCATTTTCCTCGGCAATGGTTGACATCAGATAGCGCTGTGAGGACGGCTTCAAAGTGGTGGCTTCAGGAATGATGCGAATCGGTCGTATTCCAGATGTTACATCTAAAAACAAAGTCTGGCAATGCCATCACCCCAAGGCAAGGGAGTTAACTGACTGTAAAAGTCCAGTTTCCACCCTTGCCGAACTAGACTGGAATTTAGAGGCTCGATCGTAGCGCGACCTATGGCTAATATGAGTTATGGCCCTTATATGTCACTCCCACTGACCAATTCCACCTCTCATGTTGCTTGCATTTGCTTCAAACAAAACAGCGGCCCCCAGTCAATACGATCAAATCATTAGTGCATCAAATCACTTGAGCACCTCGATTAAAATAATGAAAAGATCTGGCCTGGAAAATATCTGTCAACGCCAAGTTGACGGTGCACATGTTTTGCAAATCCTGCAATCGACCGAAATCTGCACGGCAGTCGTCGTGATGTTTAAAAACCGGATGTCATCTTCGTTCGTGACTTGGATTGTCCTATGCAGACTGAGCTTCACCACATGTATTACATTTAAGAGAACTTTTATTGCACTCATACACAAACATGAAGAGTGCTCCTCCACTTATAAGAGACATGCCCAACGGACTGACATTTGAAACAGCACAGAGCAGGAGGAATATACATCCGGATTGTAAATCTTTGGAAAATAATAAAAACATGATCTGGTAAAGACTGACCAGCAAATGCGCGCAGAACAGATTAGTCCATGAGTCAGACGCACATGGACTAATCTGTTGCTTTACCATAAAAAGGACAAAACCCTTTCCATATCCATAAGTCGATATGTCTTTGAGTCACTCTCACATAGTGATGATACAAGGTGTTTGCGAAAAGGCAAGCGCATCCTGCCCCACCAATGGCACTCACTACAAACACATACAATGGAAAGTCAATTATTCACCTTATAAAATGGGAACACACGGCAAAAGCCAAAACAGAGATTTGGATCGAACATCAGTTTTGTTTCTGATGCATCGAATTTGGAAATGTCCTCCACGTGTCTACCGTAAAACCTTTGAAAATCTTTACTGAGACCTTGAATGTTGTCACCTTGATAAAACAACTTCTGAGCAAGAGTTGTATGACCCTTGGAAATATTGGTAGAAAGAGTATGCCCGATGGTATCTCAGAAGATGTAAAATGTAAACTCCATAGCCAGGAGCTGCTGCAATATTGCTCGACATGAAGGGAAGTTGACTGTTGGAAAGTTGAAGTCATCCCTCTTGTTAAACAGTTTTGTGGAGAGTGTTTTGTCACTCAGAATGTTTATGCATAGATCTGAATACGAAACGGATGAGGCGGTCTCACTGGTCTCCTTCATTTCTAGTTCAGCAGGTACATCAGTGGAAGGGAATTTCGCCATCTGATGGTTAATGAATGATGTCAGATCACAGATATACAGTGATTATGTCAGCACTTACAAGCAATTCAGTAAGGGTCTTCCTCAGCGACGCAGGATTTAATTACCAATATACTCGTCCTTTTTAATGAATGAATTTTCATGGATACCTGCTTATGTTGGACTGCGTGGAAATGAGAAAGCTGATAAATTGTTAAAAGCTGATGTGAAAAGAATGACTTAATATTGTTTTCTCCTGCAGACTTAGGCACCGTCAGTAATATTCATGCGAAACAAAATGGCAATCGAGATGGGCATCATCCTTAAAAGGATGCCATATCTTTGGCGTCTAGCCTTTCATTCATAAATTACATATATCTCTAAATAATAGGAGTGAAGACTTTCTCTTAATCAGACTTTGTCTTAAGCAATTGGTCTTGGTGTGTATGTCAATAATCTTATAAACAACATTTCTGCAAATTGTTCACTTCATAACCTACTTGACAATATGGTTAATTATTTACTCCAAATTATAGATTTATATGTAGATCAACATAAGGTAATTATGGAGGCTCTTAAAGTTCTCAATATTGACCCCATATTTACGGAACTGTTATGTTGTAGGAATATAGTTCGCCATGAAGTACAGAATGTAATTCTCGTAGCCTGAACACCAAAAAAACTTTCAAAGATTAATCAATCCCATAAAGTCCAAAAGCATTAGGTATAACCTGGATAAAAAGAGTAGAAAGCTGAATTTTTCTGGAGACCACAGAAAGTCATACTGATGCCCCTAGAACAAGGTTTCCAAGATGGCCACCATTATTTTTTAAAAGGATGTGAAATTTTGCAGTTTTACATTCATGATAGCATGTAATATATCAAATCAAAGCTCTTTTTTTAAGTTTCCCAACAAAACTTTATTTTTAATTTTCTATAAGCATTTGAAGAATGATTTAACAATTTTTTTTTGGGAATACCCAGTAATAATAAGGTTGGGTAATGTTAAAAAGGATCTATGAAAGAAACAAAGGTATTTCAGAATTTGCAATACTGTATTCAAACTGGTAAACAGTAGAACTGATCCCTTGTTTCAATACATCTTGTAGAGCCGGAGGAATATTATGTCCCCTGGAATTATGTCCAGAGTCAGTATATTGTTCATGAGCTGCTGCAAAGTAGGTAACAGCATGTGTACAGTGTGAAACACTATTATGAAATAATTAGTAGAATCAGCACGTCATTGAAGTGAAACACAAGTTTAACCATTAACATCATTTTGTATCTCTATGACAGGGGCATTTTTACAATTGTAATCACTACATCCTGTGCATAGGAAAGTGCACTCCAGTCGCTTTGTCGCTACATCACTTAAGCATCTCTTCCTTGCACGCACACAATGTCATCTTCAGGACTTTCAGAGGAGCAACAGATCAGTCAGTTCCATTGGGAACAAGCTGGGAACAAGCAGTCCCTCTCTGTGGTGCCACGCCCACTCTGTGGGTGATAGTTCATTTCTGTGCCATTGTTGTACAGCATGGTATGTTCTATGACTATTGAATTTGGCAGCTACTGATGTTGAGAGAGAGATTCCAGCCTGAATCCAGATGAATATAAGGATGCTCGATGAATGGATTTGAAGTACATCTTGTAGAGATATGTGTCCATTGTATCTATTGCAGTTGATGGTGTCAACCAGTCCGCATATGCAGTGCTTTGCTCTTCTTACACACCTGTGGGTGGGAACCCATTTGAGATAACTGGTATCAAACATGGTGATGACCTGAGGTCAGATTATGACGGCCTACTTTAAAAAATTTCCTGGTTGCAAGTCATTGATAAGTTGCTTGTGCTTCAGTCGAATGATCACCTACATCTGTGTTGAACGTTATGGTTTTTCAGAGTGTAAACTCCCTGATGCGACACCGACATATATGTCCTCCTCTTCAAGCCTCACTTCGAAGTCAAACAAAATTCAAAATACGCACACTAGATCTAATATACTTGAAAGCAAAATTACTGAAAGTTACCTCTGAAAATTAGGTACATTGCAAATCTCGCCTTTTTTGACACATTACTAAATCACCATTCACGGTGTGTTTAGAATTCTAAATATAAGATATTTACTTTAAGAATTGAATTTCTAAAGTAGCATATCAGTGATCAAGGGTATCTCTTTTGAATCAAATCACTAATAATAATTCTGAAACGTCGCCGATAGGTCGTTTAGAATGTTTTGAAAAATACACAGAGACGAACGCTGAAGTGTACATTCCGCCATATACAAAATCACGTTTCATATATGCGAATTGACCCGAGGAAGCAGCTGTCATGACCCTTTGGATAGACCGAAGGAAAGAGTCTGGGGTGTGCTAGGGGCATGACTTACCGAAGGTCTCAAAAACCAATTCAGCTTTCTATTATTTTTCTTCCAGGTAGTTTTTTTGTCTAATTCTTTTGGCCTAATAGCTGAACATAGACTTACGACAGTCGTAGCACAAATATGTACAACAGCACCCCTGGTCCGTATGTTGACAATATTATACACAGTAGCCTAATCAATTTCTAAGACTTTGCTGTTCTCTCAGATACTAGATCAAAACCGATAAGCGGTTTCAGCGCCTCTATTCCAAATCCGATTTATTTTGACAAGATTTTCCGTTCTGAATGGAACACGTCTGCCCATACCCATCTTGTCAATTTCACAACGTTGTATACGTCATCAAGTCTGAAATACGCTGCTAATATGATACACATATACACGCGTTTTACAGAGCATGATGATAAAGAATGTATGTAAAGTTAATTATTCTTTATCAAAGTGATGTAACAATAATGATATTTGCCGCTTTTGTTATGTTTACACACTAGACGTGATGTGATATTAGATTTAACGTCGCGTCCAAGATTAGTGCACTTATATAGCGACATGCATGCACATTTGTGTGTGCGTGTGTGGCTGCTTGTACTAGTCCGGACAAATGCCGATTTTATAGTGCTAACCCATTGAGATACAATGTCGCAGCTTGACGTGAATACCCCACTCAAATACGGTATACTGACCCCGAGCCGACCGGTCCTAGTGTTAGACACTTAATGCCCAGCGCCAGAAAGGGTAACAACAAATACCTTTTTCATGCCTTTAGGTATGATGCGGCCGGGAATCTCCGGGTGGACGCTCTACCACTAGACGTTTACAGACCATACCCTATAGTCGGTCTCAGTTACCGATGTAAAGGTCACTGACTTCGACAAATCATCACCAAAGCAGGTATTTACCTAGGTGTACCGGAAAGCACTGCTAAATTTTACAACTGATAGCTTTTTTTAGAGAAAGGTAGTTGAAGTGTCCTGACCGTTTAATTTCTGAACGGGGCAATATCGCATTTGCATTGGGGAAAACGACTTTATTACGTTTCCGGTAATACTTTAGAATTAATTTACGAAGTGATTGTATACATTTATCGTTCAGTTCATTAAGTTCATACTCTAAAAAGCTCACAGAATTGCAGCCTATCCTCATAAATGTACTGTCATAGTATAACAGAAAAACATGAATAATCAGAATGCGCCATATCCACAACTGACAGTGGCCAGGTAAGTGTAAAACGTCAACACCAGTCTCCATTGTCCGCCGAAACAGATTCGCGGTGCAAATTATTTGGAAATCCGCGATGACACCAGGTGTCCGCGATAAGGGGAACTCGGGAGAAGGCCTCAGTAGGTCAATAAACTGTACATGCAAGACGCCTCTTTCAAATTTGTTAAACAACATGAGAGTAATGAAATGCGTACCCTCCCTGTTGACATGGGTGTTAACATGGACGCGGACTTCGGAGGAAGTCCATGACTAATTATACTGAGTCAAATTAAAAACTTCACATTTTAAAAAGTAATCCCATACATGATATACAACGGACAAATGTATCAGAGAAGGTAATTATTAATCATTAATGTCCAAAGTAGGATTTTAATTAACGGTGGTAACCATAATTTGTTCCAAGCACCTACGGTATTCGGTAATAACATCAACAGTTTAAATCATAAGTCCCAAGCACGAGAATCTGATGGCACACAAGTTCAGTAGCCTGTATGGCCACATTGTGCGTTGACAACTGCCATACAACGCCTCCGCATGGACCTTGTGATGCTTGTGAACACATGATTGAGAGGACGACGCCATTGTTGCTGCAAAATGGTGCCAAGATCTTGCAAATTGTGTGGTTGGTTCTGGAGAGTGCGCAGACGTCTGCCAAAAGCATCCAAGACGTGTTCGATGGGATTTAGGTCGGGAGACCTTGACGGCCAGTCCATGACGTTGACTCCCGCATTCTGAAGGAAATTCCTTGTCAAAATTGCTGTGTGGGGTCTGGCATTGTCGTGTTGGAAGATCAACCTGGGTCCATGTGCTGCCATAAAAAGGCAGAAGTTCTGGTGCCAGTACCTGGTCGCGGTAAGCAGCAGCGTTGAGCTTGCCACGGATGACAAGAAGCCTGGAACGTGCTTTGCCACAGAAAGCACCTCACCCCATGACACTTCCGCCTCGAAATCTGTCAACTTCCTGTACACAACACTGGGCGTAACGTTCATGACGGCGCCTCCACACCCTTACCCTACCATCAGCAAATCGAAGATTAATTCGGGATTTCATCACTGAAGACGACTTGATTCCAATTCCTCTTAGTCCATCGTAAGTGTCGCTGTGGCCACAATTGACGTTGACGTCTGTGTAATTGAGTCAGACTCGGCTCGCAGAATGGCCGTCGTGGTTGAAGGTGAGCAGTTCTCAGACGGTTTCGAACAGTATGCGCACTCAGTCTACCCCTAAACAGTTCATTTCTGGTTGATGTAGCCGTCAAAAATCGGTTACGGGGGTGACGTAAGACAATCTGACGATCCTCTGCATGTGACGTGGTCAACCTGGCCTAGGGCGATCAGCGGTGGTACCCGTTTATTGTAAACAGTTCGTCGACTACAACCCATCGTCCCTGCGACTTCAGCTACGGACGTTCCCGTCTGCAACATGCCGATGGCACGTTCACGTTGCACATTTGAAAGGCGTGGCATGACAAATGGCCGTAGAGACTTTTGTTATCTTGTGTTATTCTTTTTTTGTTAATGGCTGCTAATAAGTATGGCTGAAAACACGTTCGGTATTATGTGCCACGTGACCAGTTCCACGTGAAAAACCACTTTTGCCACTATGGTGCTGTGCACATGATCGATTCACCTGCACAAAAACGGGTGTTATCTGAAGACAATACGTGGCCATTACTGTTTAAATACACAATAAGGGCCCACAATGATAACTGGTCAAAATTGTGAAGTTTTTAATTTGGTTCAGTATATTTTGTGTATGTGATGTTGTTCCCTTTACATACGTCCTGCATCTAAAAAAACAGTTATAGCTATTGTACATGTGATATATTTGATATATTTTACAGAACAGAATGCACGTTAGTGAATGTTATCACTCCAGCGTGTGATTCTGAGTAAACATCAGGGCTGTAATCGTATCGCGTCAGTTCTCTGTATAAAAACGCTTCAAGTAGCTGCTCAGGAACAGCGCAGACAGAATTACCAACACACCATTAGATAACAACTATGTGCTATTCATCAGTTAACAATAAATAAATGTTCATTCCCTAGTATCTATGCAATATCATATTCGGGACGTTCACACGAACACGTAGATATGACTATGACTAAATATGCTATATGCTTATTTCATGGACATTGACTACAACTGCAAGGTTACACCTTATTCCAGGAGGGTTTCACATTTGTCATAAACAACATGACGTTTATTTACTGACTGTATGATTCCATCGATTCCAATATAACGTTTATCTCAGCTCTCATTGAGAATTGTACAAACTAGCTAAGTTTAAATGAATAAACAAAGATATGATCTTATCTTAAATTCTCAGGGGACAACTATAACATATACAGTTTATAGTGAATATTGGGTGGTTTGGGTAGCCTGGTGGTAAAAGCGATCGCTCGTTACGCCGAAGACCCGGGTTCGATTCCCCAAATGGGCAAAATGTGTTAAGCCCTTTTCTGTAGTACCCCGCGGTGATATTACTGGAGTATTGCTAAAACCATACTCACTCATTATAGTGAATACACTGCAAGGTAAAGTGTCAGTCATATCCTTAACCATTAATCATTATACACTTTGCTACACAGATAAAATAGATGAATTCACACAATGCTGTGTGACTGTAGCCCCGGCCAACTGACACACGCCGTCATGTCATACCTAAGGTTCGAGCCCCATTGCGGCACATGTTTCAAAATAAGGTCTTGACGAGTGACAGATAACATCCAATGTAAAACTCGAAATGGTACATTTGAGATTTTGTTATTTATAGTTCATAAATATTCATGCACGAGATTGAGTTTCGACCCAGGTTTGTCTTTTGTGGAGGATGGGAGGATGTTTTAGTATGGGCCTGACGCATCAACGTTTGAGAGCACAATTTGTCAATTAAACAGTTCCACGAAGAAATCAAACATGTAACGTCAATGAATAAAAGAATAATTAAAAAATATCACTTTGACTAAGACCATAGACACGGATCTTTTTTATGTATTCAGTACGTCAAAAGATTCGAATCAAACATAAACATGCAGCATACGAGCATTCCTGTGGTAGACTGTAACATGATGTATCCTGTACTGCTGTCCCAGGTCCACCCTCCACATACTCGAGTAGTTGACAGCAGAGTGGAAGCAGGAGCCGGACTCCATGACCTGGTTCCTGTCCCCGTCCACAGCCTTGTCTGGAGTCCAGCTGTAATCCTTAAGTGTTCCGGATGTAGAGGTGGCTGTCTTGTTGAAGGCCACGTTCTCTGCAAGTAGGACATATCGATAATCATTACTCAAACTCAATCGCCCAGAAGTGCTGGTAGATTATGTCCGGTCCAATCAATAATGTGTCAAAAATAAGTTCAGATTATTGTTTCCGTTTTCATAAAATGTTTCAAGAAAATATTTGTGAAACTGAAATATATATAAAATGCATTAGCAAATACTTGTCATTCTTGTGTTAAATACTATACTCAACAACAAAAGTTCCTGTGACACCAATATTTTAGTGTATTTTTCAAACAAGTAAAGTTTTGTTTTCAATATTGTAGTACATGTATGGAATCAAGTCTCAAAAACGCAACTGCTACAGAAAAGCATGCATAAAAACATGCGCGTTAACGGGATTCCATATGCATCGTTTAGCATCGTGCTGACAACAACCACTCAGAAAAACAACAAAAGTACGCAATTATTCAACATTACGAAATGCCACGCCTGTCCGAAAATGAGCGTCTGCGAGCCATTGGTATGCTTGAAGCAGGATCGAGTCAACGTGATGTTGCAAGACTATTTAACATCCACAGAAACACCTTTTGGTGTTTAAGGCAACGTTGGCAACAGACGAATGCAGTCAGAGACCATCCTCGGAGTGGCAGGCCACGCGTAACCAATAATCGACAAGACAACTGGATTCGAACAATACACCTACGAAATCGATTCCAGCCAGCAACAGTGACTGCAAGAAGCATCCCTGGCCTTCGACGAATATCTTCACAAACCATACGTCGTCGCCTCAGATGTGCAGGGATTGTTGCCAGAAGACCCGCCAGACGTCCCATTTTGACAGGAAACCACCGTCAAGCACGTCTACAGTGGTGCAGACAGTGTCTACGCTGGATGGCCATGCAGTGGGGACAAGTTCTATTCACTGACGAGTCTCGTTTTCACCTCAGCCACAGCGATGGACGGATTCGAGTGTACCGACGTCGAGGTGAACGTTATGTCAATCATTGTGTCATGGAAGAAGATCGTTTCGGGGGCGGCAGCGTTATTGTATGGGGTGGGATTACAGCAAGACAGAGGACCCGTTTGATAGTGGTAGAGGGAAATCTCTATGGACAGCGCTACCGCGACGAGATCATCGGACCTGTTGTTCAACCGTTTTTGCATCGTCATGGCCCAGGGCGTACCTTTCAACATGACAACGCCCGGCCTCATATTGCTCGACTTGTTCAGGATTCTCTTCAACAAAACAACATGAATGTCATCCCCTGGCCGGCTCGCTCCCCTGATCTCTCACAAATCGAGCACATGTGGGATGAGATGGATCGGTACCTTCGACGTCAGCCACGTGTTCCACAGACACTCTAGGAACTTCGAAACATGCTCCAGCAGATATGGATAGATATCCCACAGGACTTAGTGCGACGCCTGGTCCATTCCATGAGACGAAGATGTGTTGCTTGCATTGCAACCAGAGGTGGACACACACGCTATTGATTTGTAAATTGACATTTTGGCATGTTCATGTTTTTTTTATGAAATCACGCATTTTCTGAAGTCAGTATGGCAAATTAAACCATTTGAACACTTACAAGGAGTCTTTTATCCGAAGTTGTTTCAGATTTGGTAAAAACATAACTTTGCATTAAATCTTATTCAATGTCTTAGGAACTTTTGTTGTTCAGTACATCTACTTGTTTATTAGTCTTACTTATTCAAATACAGATACCTGTTACTTTGAGCTGTCCATAACTTATGTCCTTAGCTAGCATATCGTTAAGATGATATTTGGTATTTCTCTACTTGGAAGGTACGAACGTCTAATGTTTTGTCACTCCACGAGGTCATGTGTTTGACCTGACCTTTTCGAGAATTAATATTTAAGCATGTAAAAATATTTTTTTTACATTAAGGGCTAATATTGTTCATATATAAGGAAATATAGGATATATTTTGCTTTGTTCACGTTTTTTATTGTTTTTGCTCAGTTTCTTGGAAGTATTCGTAATGATTGACAGCGTGAGAAACTGACTTTGCTCAGACCTGAGAACAAGAGGGTCTATAATAAGAATGGCAGGCTCGTTATTGAGGACACGCCAGCTTCTACTCTGGAAGGTGATGATCATCAACTGTCTGCTCCATTCGCAGATCGCGACTCAAGTGGAACATCGTCAACTGTGGATCAGGAGCGGGTGCTGCCGTCAAGGTCGTAGGTTATGCAAAAGCATAACAAACTACATTGCAAGTAAAATAGAAGATTTAACCACCAAACTGTCCGACATTGGCTTTGTTTCAATTGTATCTGAACATGACATTGTTGCTTTATTTGAAAAACAGTCGCTAGAAAATTACTTTAGTGACATTTTTTCCAGAATATAAACTTTTTTGTTTACCAGCCACAAAAAGGTCCAAGTTCGGGGGGTATTCGGGAGAATACCCTTGATAAAAGATTCACTGGTAAGACGTGTTATTGATTTTCGATACAGATAAAATGCTATTACCATTCTGTTGGATAAAAGTATGTTTGGTGTCAGTAGAGCTACATTATCTGTATATCCAGCCACATATATCCAGCCGGAGATATCGACGAATAATAACAAAGATAGACAAAATGGAGAAGATATTTTGTTGTATTTTCTAATGAGTACACTGGAAGAGGACCCAGCTGTTTCAATCATTGCACTTGGGTTTGTTTGTCTGTTTGTTTGCATGTTGTTTAACGCAGCACTCAGCTAAATTGCAGTTACATGCCGGTGGTCTGTAAATGTAGACAATCCAGTGGTCGACATCATGAGCATGGAAAGCCAGAAGTGATGCAGGTATCAGACGTTTACCACTTCGGTGAAACAAATGAGTACGGGTATGGTGCTGACAAACCTAGAAACATTATCGGGGCGAACCGGGATTCGAACCTACAATCATAGGTTTCTGGCGTAAGGGACGCAACTCTGCATAGCGAATCGCGGTGCCTAAGACGACTGGGCCACCCGTGCCTCCTATTGGGCATTTAGGGTGTAGTGTGATAGATTATGGTTTGGGATCGAGTGACATGTTCCCCAATGATGATGAATGTCTAAAGATAACACATACCTTATTAAGTAAAACAATGTTTGCAATGAATACAGATAATTGTGTGGAATCAAGAAGGACCAGTTTGCACAATGTGAAAGGAGTGACCTAGAAAATGTTGCAGCGGTAGACTCTAAAAGTTTCTGGGACATCATAAAACGTGTGTCTGGATAACCACAACGACCCAACCCTATGTTATACAAGACTGGGGGACTATTGCTCGTCACTGAATTCTGAATCAACGGGTATTCAGGATAATCTTGGTTAGGTGTAGGACATCGTGACAGGTCATGGCTATGTGCAAGAGCTGACAATTGACATATTAGAATCCACAATCCGAACTTTTTTTAGAATCTGAACTTTTTGAAAGCAACAGTGCCTAGAAACATAATAGATCAGCTGGCCGTGACGACATCTATGGAAGCAATTGTACAAACATGGTTTGAATGCTAAAATGGCTAAAATGTTACAATTTGTTTTACATTAAGAGTTGTAACAAGGGTGAACCCGCAACCCATAATCTAAAATATATTTTTACATTAAGAGATTTTTTTATATTAAGGGTTGTAACATACCATCTTTACGAAACGAGTGGACTTTCTATGCTACACAATAGAAAGTTCACGAGTTTCGTAAAAATGGTATCAAAAGTGAATGAGTGTGGTATTTTATTAATTACCCACGATAAATATGTATGTAAGTGTAAATACATAGCAACTTGTGTTCGTTGACAGGGCAAACTGAAACCGGTTGCAAAATCTGGTTGTGGATGAATATTGATATATGCCCAAATATGGGCATTGTTGACATTTCTATGCATTCGCATTACCAACATGCGCCTGCAGTTGTGCTTGCAAACATCACAGCACCGACGCTCGAGATCCTTTTGGAAGAATTTCTTCAACTTATGAGAATTCAAGAGCCGTGTTGTTAGTAAGCAGAAGAAAATTTGAAAAGTCACGTCAGCGACGCTTTGAATATTGGACCAACAGTCGGTCACTCGCACTGCCGGTGTCCCGTCTGTGCATTCAAAATGGTTCGGTTTCCTTAATCTATCAGCTGAATTTATATCATGTCCGTACCATTTTGGAAGAGGGAAATCAGAGTGTTCGCCAAAGACATTTATGTTTACTGTACCACCCTATACTAAAGACGTGAAAATCAGCTTCGAACGAAGGACAAGGTCACCACCAGAATAAGAAAAGACAACCGTGATCTACTCAGCGTTTTACGCTAGAGATAGGGAATGGTATTGTTTGCCTTTGGGATATTTTGGGACATATAATCAGAAATCAGACACATTTCTACGGAGTTTGCGAATGATTTGTATCGGAGATGTTCACTTTGAGTGATCTGGTTGTGCACTCGTAAACAAACAACTCCCGAAACAGTGCCACAAAATACGCTTCGAAAGGGGACACTGATGGCACAACCGGATCATTCCAAGTAAGTCTAGATATCTGTTCAGATATTTTAAACTGGCTTCATTTCACCACGCTTACCCTTTTACGTTAAATCAAATTGTAAGTTGCGAAAGTAGTCGGGTGCGTCACGCTCATTGGGACCCCCGATGTATTGAACGGTAGTCGCGCGTGTTTGGTTTAATAAAGTCTTTGTCAATATCTCTCACTCACATGAGATTGTTTCAGTTCTTGCAAAATGAATGACGTCTCGCGATAATTTATGATTGAAAAAAGTAGTCCCGGTGTGACAGAGGTCACGGGTATCGAATCAAAACGAATAAAACAAGGTCAACCTTGTACGACACAAGTGTGACGTACGGATTTAGTATCTTGTCACCTGTATCTTCACTACTTGGGTAAGAAAAGTGTTTATGCTACTTCTACCATCTTGTTTTAAGGGTACAGAGACTGAAAATGTCAGTTAATAACTATATTCTACTAATCATATACATTATATTTAATAAAAATGTATCTGTTAATGCCATTAACTTTAAATAGTAATTATTATATCCCTTGTGATAAAGAGGTCACTCATCCCTTGCGAAGGAGAAATCAACAAAGTCAAGCAAATAAAAGCGACATAACCCTTTACATATTCATACGAAATCTCGATTGTACGTTTTCTACTTTATTATCATGAGCATATATCTATGAATCACTATCCAATAGTGATGACAACCGGTGTTCGCGAAAAGGTGAGCAGCGTATCCTACCTAACCGGTGACACCCGTCACAAACACATGCATGGCAAGTCAATTGTTCACCTGAAAAAAATAGGAAATTGCATCGGACATCATTTTTGTCATTGATGCATCAAATTCGGAAATGTCATGTCTCCCATAAAACGTTTTGAAAGCTTTACTGAGGCCTTGAATGTTTTAAATTTGATCAACCAACGTTTGTGGAAGAGTCGTACATGTATGACGCTCTTGAAATCTTGGTAAAAAGAGTATGTCGATTGTATCTCAAAATTTTATGAATTAAATGTAAACACCAATGGCTGGGGCTGCAGGAATATTGCTTGACATAAAGGGAACGAAATACGATTACTTGCCTCTTTGACAAGTGCCGTTCCTCCCATCCCTCCCTAGTGCACAGGCCCCAGGACATTCTCCTGTGGTGGAGTTACACACGGCCCCTCCTTCACAGTGACAGGAATAGCTACAGGAGTCTCCGAACTGTCCTGTATGGCAGGTACCTGGTGAGAAAATACAATACTGCTTTTGAGGCGTACTAGTAAGAACGAAATGTTGTCATACAAGTAGAGTGAGTGAGTGAGTATGATTTTACGCCGCTTTTAGCAATATTCAAGCAATATCACGGCGGGGGACACCAGAAATGGGCTTCACACATTGTACCCATTTCGGGAATCGAACCCGGGTCTTCAGCGTGACGAGCGAACGCTTTATCCACTAGGCTACCCGACCGCCCCTTCATACAAGAAGAAGAACAACCTATTCATATTTTGAATGACACTTGCGCTGATATATATTATCATACACCATGTCAGGCAATGTTGAACTGTGACACTAATGAGTGTAAAGGTTATTGTACACATGTTACTGTCAAATCACAATGCATGCGTTTAGTGTAGAAATCCATTGGATTGTTTAGTTGGGTTTGTTTGTTTGTTTGTTTGATTGTTTGATTGAATGTTTGTTGGTTGGTTTGTCTGTTTGTTTGTTTGTTTATTTATTGTTTAACACTTCACACAGCAATATTCCAGCTATATAATGGCGGTCTGTAAATAATCGAGTCTGGACCAGATAATCCAGTGATTGACGCCATGAACATCGATCTATGAAACTGGAATGTCATGACATGCATCAACTAAGTCAGCAAGCGAGACCACTCGATCCCGGAAGTCGCCTCTTTCGACAAGCATGTTTTTCTAGATTGTTGGGTGTGAACATGTGGTACTTCCATTAGCTCAGGCACTTCAGCGCATGTATATTTCATTCAAACGTCATGGAAAGACACATTTTGCTTACAACAGTTTACTAGGTTTGCCATCGAAGGCCTGGTTGAATCATTCCAGAAATTGTGTACTAGACATTCCGAATAATTCACTATCACCTTTACAGGTGGGGGGTGGGGTGTGGGGTGAGGGGTATTTGGGGCTGACAATACATAGTTTTCTGCATCCACCCCACCCCAAACACCCCAGAGATCAAATGTCTCCCCTTTTGAAGTTGTAACCACGCAATCCTCAATAGTCGAGAGTCGTGTGATATGGAGGA